AAAGCTTTGCATAAACAACGACACATTTTTTTAAAATTAATTTTAGGAGTTGAGATAAAAAAAAGAAAACACAGTATTTTGATATAAAATGCAAACAGTAACCTCAACATGCGCGGATCCAGAAGGAGATCTGGAACCCCCCCCCCCCCCCCCCGGAATTTGCATCGTTATCAAATGTATATACTGAAGCAGATAAAAAAAAAAGACTTTCGACACCCCTTAGAAAATCAGTGTTGACCCCCTCAATACCCCTACGAAATAGATTTTTTTCACGCTTGACAATAGACTTGTTTTTTTTTTTTTTTCCTTGCTTGTCAAGAAATTTATGGGTTGAAAATTTATTTTTTTGACTGGGTTGGACCCTCCCCTCCCTGGAAAAAATTTCTGGATCAACACCTGCTCAAACTACAATATATACAATAAATAAAAAGCGGGGAAGGGACTTACCGGGCTGACAGTAGTGCCGTATTTGCTTGTTGTGTAGTTCCTTGTGACTTAGTCCTCCCTTGAAGGTCTTTGTTGATCTGCCTGTGAATTCGATGAATTTCCCCCTATTATCCTCACCAAGAAAAAACTGGTCACATTGGAGAGAATGATGTTCGTCATGACCCCTTAATCCAAAGAACTTGCAACTGTAATAAAACACAGTGTTCTGAAGGATTTCTGCATTGTTCATCCCGAAAATCCCTTTCTCCCAGATTGTAGCCTCATCTTCAGGAAGTATGGGATCTGCTTGTTTTCGTTTTCCCCCAACTCCTCTGCTAAATGCGTCCTTCATTTTACTGTCCAATATTTTACGGAACCCTGCAAATCTTGGATCCGCCGCATCGAGAAAGTTCTTGTCATAAATTTCACGATCCCGTAAATATCTTAAAATGCCACAGCTAATGTAGTACAATGTTTTTGCAGGATATTCATTGCCATCTTTTCTACGTACTCTCATAATAAACCTTCCTAAATAAAAGTTCAGCTGCACCGCGTCCATAGTTTCGATTTCTGGTATAAAGAGTTCTTGCCCTTGACACTGCGCATTTCATTCACGCCGCCAACTTTCAAAAATATTAAATGACCGACGTGTATTTTTTTTCGTGTTGAGATTTTCTTGACTCTCTATCAACGCTTGAATTTCCTCCTCTTCAACTTCAAAACCAAATCGTGGTACTTCGAAATTTTGAACACATTCATTTTTTGTTTCCATATCTACGTCACGAACCCCGCCATTCTCTGTCTCAAGGCTCAAGTCAAAATTCATTAGATTTCCTGGGTCTGCGTCAAAATCCATGTCGAAATCCTCAAGTTTAATTTCTCCAAAACAATAGTTCATTTCTATTTCTTCGCAGGCCTGAGATAAAATTAAGTCATCATCATTCGATAAGGAGGATCAAAGTTTTACATAGAAATATATAGGAAAAATTTTTAAAAATCTTCTTCTCAGGAACAGCAAATAAAAAATCGAGGCCTAAATCTCGTAAATCGTCTGTGTTCACAGTTGGAAAGCTGCAGTCCGACATCCTCTACCGTTGAAACACGGGCAAAAAGTGCGTATTAGAAAAAATAGTGGTGGGAAGGAGAGAATTTGCACGTAGTCACCTGACAAAAACTAGATTTTTTATTGGTCTTATTAAAAATCACGCATCGAACACCGGTCACAAGACAATTATTGATATTTTGATTGGCCATGATACAAGAAAGTTATTGAATATTTATTATGGTGTATCCTGATTTAGTTGGACGAAGGGGCGGAGACTCATGCTTCGCACTCGTCACCGCCCTTCGTCCAAATAAATCAGGATACACCATAATACATATACAATAACTATTACTTGTGCCTTGTTTACAAAAACAGTTTACGTTTCACGAGTGTGTTCAATTTGTTAAACTCTGTACACATCACAGAGCACGGACTGAAAATACTGGTGAGATGGTTTTGCTTTCGAACATTTCTTCTCTGAATTTTCTGGATTAAAGATGTAATATTTTTCATTAATACATAACAAAATCGCTTCTCTTCTCAAATATTAAGGATAAAGTTAAAATATGTGTAAGTGCAAAGATGTGTTAATCAAACGCGTCCCAGAATTCGTAGTTCCAATAATTTCCAGATAAAATAAGTTTTTAATTATATTTTCATGTGAATGCTATTGCAATATATAAGTCGTGATATTATACAGAAAATTTGAGAAAATATTAAGTTCAAATCTGTGTCTAAGCACAAAAATTTTCCCCTATATATTCCTATGTAAAACTTCGATCTCCCATTGTGGCCCCAACCTACCCCAAGGGGTCATGATTTGGACAAACTTGAATCTAAACTACCTGAGGATGCTTCCATATCAATATGACTAATCATGGCTTTGTTGTCCTTGAGAAGAAGATTCTTAAAGATTTTATTCCTATATATTCCTATGTAAAAATTTGATCCCCCATTGTGGCCCTACCCTACCCCCAGGGTCATGATTTGAACAAATTTGAATCTACACTATGTAATGAAAGTTTCACAGTTTCAGCTTTTGGGCCCAGTGATTCTTGAGATTTTTAAATGATGCCACCAAATTTTCACTAATTCTTAATTATCTCCCCTTGAAAGGGGGTGTGGCCATTCATTTGATCAAACTTGAATCCCCTTCACAGAGATTCTTTGTGGCAAGTTTGGTTGAAATTGGCCAAGTGGCTCTTGAGAAGAAGTTGAAGATATGAAAAATTTACAGACAGACAGATGGATGCCAAAAAAATGTGATCAGAAAACCTCACTTTAGATTTCAGCTCAGGTGAGCTAAAAACCAATGAGATTTTATAAGAGAGTGGTTTCCAAAATCGCTTCCCAAGTGAACCAAAAATGGATTTTGTAGAAAAAAGTATAAGATATGATTATAAGTAGTAGGAAAGAGATGGAATAAAAAAAAACAGTAGACTTCTATGTAAAGGGGTATGCAAGTGTGGCTCTGCTTAAACATGCTTTTTCTAAATATTTCATGAAATGATTTTATACCCAATTGTTGCCTGATTCTTGACCCTAGTGCCATAATTTGACCAAAGCTAAATCTACACTACGTAAGGATGCTTAACTATTAATTTAGTCTAAGAGTGTTCTTGATGTTCTTGAGAACAAAAATAATCAGAATATTTTCCAGTATCTCAATATGTCAAACTTTTGTGCCCTATTCTGGCCCCACCCTAGCCCCAACAGTTATGATTTGGACAAATCTTAATCTATACTAAAAAGCTACATAAAGATTTGACCCCTGGCTGTGGTGCTGCTTTGTCTTAGAGCAATAAAAAAAAATCCCATTGTAAATCTTTGATCTTTTATTAACCCCACACTGGAAATGGGGACTATGATTTTAACAAATATACATACAACTGCAAACTTTTCATTCAAATTTTGTCTTTTCTGGCCTTGGTGTTCTTGAAAAAAAAAGATTTTTATTTTACACCACTGACACCCTACTTCTACTAATTTTTCATTCATTATCTCCCCTTGAAACCCCTCTCCCCTATTTGAAAAAAACTAAACAAATTGAATCTTTGCAGATCATGGATCCTGTGTCCCACTTTTGGTTGAAATTAATCTGGGGTTCTGTAGAATAAGTTGAAGATTTGAAAAGTTTACAGATAACACATAAACAAGTTTAAAAGATGACAAACAAGTTAGCATGATTTTCTCCTCATCATTGAAAATTAATTTTAAAAAGTTTATTGACTCCTGAAATACAAGAAAACATCCTCTTTAAGTGTTTTGCAAATTTGCTCTCCTTTCTTTTATGTATACAGTAGAACTTCCTTCTCTTACAGTGTATGTACAGTAGGACCCACTATTTGAATACTGAAAGATAGGTCATGTGTAGACAATCATCAGATGGCTCGCATATGTTAACGTAAAAATAATCAACCGAAAATTGAAATCGAGATCACCAGTTCATCAACATTTATGTTTTGTATTAAAACAGTTTATCTTGAATCTTCGTCATACAAATCATGGCTGATAGATTTTTTAATAAATAATCTTGGATGGGTGGACACTAAGCACAAAGAATAACGACACTTGTAATGTCTTTCTATAAAGACAGCTAAGAATATTATAAAGGGGAACACATGTCTAGAATTTACTACATGTATTAGGACTGCTTATGTCAATTTTATTCATGTTAATAACAACATTAATTACCTTTCTCTTAATTCATGGGGAATTTTTTTTTTACATTTATACATGTATAAACAAATCTAAAAAAAAATCATTAAAAAAAAAATAGTTTACTTCAATTATCATAGAGATGGAGTTATTTTGCCCTGAAATTCTGACAATTTTAACATTTGCGGAAAATGTCTTTTAACTATGCTTTCTTTCCAAAAGATGCTCATTTAACAAAACCAGGTCTCTCATAAAACCGCAGCTCTAGTGGTGTGTACTTGGTGTACCTTTGTATAGTCTAATTGTGTACAAGTGTACCAAAACACCAAAATTCAATAAAAAGAATTATGTTTCTAAGCATAGAGTATTTGTGTAACAAGTCTTTTTGAAATTAGGCCAAAACTATAGGAACAATAGCATTTTAAAAGAATTTCACAGCAATTTTTAATTTTAGTAACCATGGCAACACCATTTGTTGACATCATAAACCAATAAAAAGAATTATGCATCTTAGTGTAATATACATGTACTTGTCTTATACAAGTCTTATTAAAATTGGACAAAAACAAAAGGAGAAGTACTGTTTTGAAAGAATTTTCTGTTTTATTTAATAATTACCGGTAATGGAAACACCGTTTGTTGAAATAAAAATGTAATACATAGAATTATTTAGCTTAGTATGGTTTACTTGTGTACCAAGTTTTATTAAAATTTAGCCAAAATGGAGGAGGAGTAGCATTTTGAAAAAATGTTTATGGACAAACCGACAAATGGACAGAAAGAAGGATAACATCATCTCTCCTGGTCTCTGACCAGTAGAGCTAAATATGAACACTTCAGTTATCTCAGAACTTGCTTCAAGGTCACTCACCCATTGACTTTTTATCTTCCCAATCATCAAGCAACTCATTGACATAAAACACATACAACCAGGTCCTGTGTTTTTTCTCTTTGTTCTGAAACAAATAAAAACAATCTATACTGACATTCATCTTTTTTTTTTTACAACAAAGATTATTCAACATCTACTCAATCATTTTCTATGAATCATTTCCAGTGATAGTTTTATACAACCTTCATGTTATCTTAGCATTGTGATTTGAATGTTTTCAGGGATAAGATGGTTGAAGGGTGAGTGTCTCTTGTAACCTTGGGTAAGATTTAGATTAGCAATAAGCAACAAGACTCAAGCATTTTTCAAATTAAAGTTCATCTTTTATGGGATACTGAAAGATTTTCTGACTTTCAATGATTGACAAGTATGCAATAAAAACTTCTGATCAATAATCACCTGTATGATGAACAGCTTTTTAAAACATACCAATAAGTATCAAAAAGAGGTCAAAATCAAAATAACAGACAATTAGGAAAAAAAACAAACAAACATTATGACTACATACAGACTAGGAAGTTGAATCGTAATTTATATTAATTAAGTTTAAAATATATTTCAAAGCCACAGGGAATAAATATTACTTTGCTGTTAGCATTGATTCATTATAAGTGTGTTTGCTATGAAAAAGCATGTTTTACTTTACACATTTTCTTATTATTTATATTTTTATTATTTTAATTTCAATAGACAACAAAAAAGTAAGAAATCCATATGAAATATGCTTAGATATTAGAGACATTATTTGACAATTGTTCAGACCAGATGTGACATGAGTTCATTCTGCTTTGTCACCAAAATCAGAACCAAGTCTTAACTATCACTAAATTTATAATGTTTGTTTAATAACATAATTTGATAGGTTACTGCCAAGGAAAGACAGGGTTAAGATACACATTCAAATCTGTTCACAATAATTACATTAATATCATGAAAGAAATACAGGACAGGCTGGGTAACGACAAGTTGTTTCAACTGTACTTACACTTCAAAAAGTGACCAATAACCAAATACCAAGGAGCAGAGAAGAATTAATGCATTTTCACTATATAATTAATAGAGTCCCACCCCAACACCAGAACCTCTGTCCAGGGGTCATGAAATTCACTATTTCAGAGGAGGCACCCTTGCTCATCATAACCATACACACAGTTTGTTTGCAAAATACCAAGGAGCAGATAAGAAGATTTTTAAAGAATAAAATATACATTTTCACTTTATGACCAATAAAGCCCCACCCTAAAACCAGAACCCCTTACTCAGGGGCTTTGAATTTCATAATTTTAGAAGAGGTGTCCCTGCTTATCATATCCATGCACTTAGTTTGTCTGCTAAAATACCCAAGGGCAAAATAAAGATTATGCAGATAAGATCACAGGTATATCTTCCTTTCTATTTGTTTTCCTCTCCATTTGTTAACTCGTAACTCGTGCATACCAAAGATTATGCATTTTCACCATTTGATCAATAGAGCCTCATCTGAACACCTGAACCCCCTGACCCAGAGGCTGTGAGTTTTACAATTTTGGTAGAGGGCTCAATGGAGGGGGGGGGCATGAAATTTTAAATTTGGGTTTCCCTTCATCCAGAGATGATATATGCCAAAACTGGTTGTTATTGATTCAGCAGTTCCAGAGAATAAGTTGAAAACGTTCCAATGTAAATGCAGGACGTGACAAATGACGAGGGACAAAAAGGTGACCTAAAAAAATGAAAGAAGAGAATATTTTTCATAACAGCTCTGCTCGAGTAAAAATGCCAAAGAATGCGTGATTTTCAAAATAATAAAGCGCTCGCTTCGTGATCGGGAGGTTGTGAGTTCGAATCTCGGCCGCGACTGACCTAAGTCGATAAAAAATGGGTAGCAACTGTTCCTTCGCAATGCGCTCGGCACTTGAAGTGAAAGTTGCGGGTCCTTCGGATGAGACCTTAAAAACCGAGGCCCCGTGTCACGGCAGGGGTTGGCACGATAAAGATCCCTCACTGCTCAATGTCCCTGAGTGCCAAGTAAAGGTCAAAATTTGAAGCCCTTCACCGGTATTTGGTGACGTCTCTATATGAGTGAAAAATTCTCGAATGGGACGTAAAACAACATACAATCAATCAATCAATCAAAATAATATTCCTCTTATATATGCCAGACCCGGGTTTATAAGTGATCACCTGGGATGATGATTCGATTAAACTGTTGCCCGTAAAATGCTTTCCATAGAGAATCTTCCACAAATTTTCAACACTTCTGAAACAATTTGCTCTTTAAAAAGAAATCAATTCTTTAACAAAATCATGCAAAAAATCTTTCTTTTTTTTTTAATTAACAAAAATATATTTATCTGATGCAGTTTTAGTAATCAACACAATGGATCCAGCATTACTAGTCATGACCAGATGTGTAATGAAAACAATGTGTAGATTCCGATACCTTACTGACAGATTCCTAGGGGGAAACCAACAGATTGAATGTTGGCAAGCACTCACTCTTCAATTGAAATTCATTCATTTCTGCTGACATAGATGTATTTGACAAACATGGTAGACACATAAGCTTTTTATATCATTATGGGTATAGACAGCGGTAGCTTTCACCAGTTGGCAACCCACATTTTGCTGTACGTCTCTATCTGCCTGGAATGCTAAAACTAACTTTATAATACTGTTTCAGTCTAATAAAAATTGGGATACCATTCCAGTTCTGCAGGATACATGTAATCTTCTGATGATAAAATGGTCCCAGAACTCAGTGATAGAATACTGTGTTTTAATATTCTTTGAGAAAGGAAATCAATAAAGTAATTATCAGTTCAATAACTTCTTCAGTTCGTTTACACAAATAGGGAGTCTTTATTAGTGACACTATCAGCTTCAGAGATAATCTAATAAATTCTGGTTCAATGAATTCTGTTATTGCCAAAATTTCAGATATTAATGATATCCAATGTTTTTGCTAAGATCAGAGATTAAGTGCATAAGACAATAAAAAATGTGTTGAGGAGGAGTGGGAACTCTCCATTTTGTGACATACTATTGTCTGGAGTTTATATTGTATTTTTGAATAAATATTAATTCAAAATCAATCAGATTTTATTTTTCTCTTTAATACAAATATTTCTTCAAAGTCTTCAACTTTATATAAAAACATGTACATATTGTAAAATATGCACTCAACACCTAAGTTTTGTGTTGATTTTAGAATGTGTTAGAACTGGCTTACACATCCTGAGTGATTAACATGCAGAGTGATTAAGTATCTTGATTATGAGGTAATTTATGTCACTTTATCTAGGGCACATTTTTTAATATCAGTGGCATGCAGCTCTGTTGTAATATCTCAGAGAAAAGTGATTATAACTCTAAAGAAAAATTCTAAGATATTAATGTTTCCATTTCCAGAAAATGTTGATGATATTAAAGCCCTACTGAGAGATTGTTAAACAGAGCATCTGCTTTTGTGAACTCATTTTTTAGTACTGTATACAGGGGAGATAACGACAGTAACTAAGGGATATAACTGCTGTCAATCAGTGCAACATGTGGCCCCATCAGGTAATCCAGTAGATAGAGCCATATTGTTTTTTATCTTGCACTTTCTGCGTAACTTTTGTATGTAATACACCAACAGTAAATCACTTTAATTTTGTATTCAGCAACTTATGATCTTCTTTGAAAATAAGTACAAACTGTCTTCGATATGTTCTTTGGTAGACATTTTAATTGCTAAAGGCAAAGAACAAGAAAAGTGTCTAAATTTTATCAAAGCAGACTTGTTTCAATTCATTTAGACACCTTTGAATACAACTCAAACATGACCAAGTATACCCACATTTTCTTTCTCTACAAGACCTAGATCTGTCACACACATACCCTGATATATGTCCATTGCTCCTACACCCCCCTGCCTAGCATTTCTACCACATTACCTCAAACATGCCCAGGTATCTCCCCAGTGTACCCCTGACCCCTGCTTCCTCTAGAGCTTCTCTTTCAGCTGTAGTTTGTGATTCTTCAGTGGGCTCCATTCCACCACCTGGCACCACCCATTTTTCCCTATCTTTGCTGCTTGTCACAAGAAGAAGCTGTAAAATTGATTTAGATTTAAGAAAAAGAACAATTTCATAGAACAAGAACTGAGAGTTATAAAAAGATAATCATAAAACCTTGATTAATATAGGTGTTTGTGGCAAACAATTCAAAAGGTTTCGAAAACTAAAGTAAAAGGTGGGGACGACAAGAAATAAAAATTTCAGTAATGCTTAATAGTGACTCAAAGTGATTGGAATAAAGTCTAATCTGAAAAAAAAATAAATAGTATAGCACCAGGAAATTTTGTATAGTAAACAAAAAAGATTTGCCACATAAAGGTGAACCCCTTTTTTCAGCACTTGATGAATTGCAAGAGATACCAAAAAGTTCAGTGCAAATAAATACAGCTAGCAAACCAAAAAAAAAAAAAAATAAATAAATAAAAAATAATTCATTCAAATTTATTTGAATGGATGATGAATTGAGGATAAATAGATAATTCTACATTTTGTGTAAAAGCACAAGTACTTTTCCTTTATTAGATTGAAAACTGCACATTTATATGTACATGTTGTATTTGTTACCATGGCAACATAAAATATAAGCTTTTAAAAAAAATAATACATCTAAAAAAGGAGTATTTGCTTCATATATGCCATCATTCAAGCATTGGTTGTCAAAATTTAAAATATTGGCATTCAAATATGTCAATATAATCAATATATCAATATTCTAAAACAACTGTTCTTTTTTTTTTTTTTTTTTTTTTTTTGGACTACCGGTACTCACCTTTAAATTACATCAGCACACAAAGGGTTTAATTATGATTCATTTTTATAAAGTTATGATGAAGGGATGGGTTATTTAACTGGGTTTTAAGGTTTATCATTTGCTTTGCATGGACAGTGTTAACTTTATTTATTTATAAATAAATAATTTGATAATGAGTACACATTAACTTTACACATTAACAGGATAGTTATTGTAACCCCCTTTTCATGTTGTCATAATGCTAGTTCTCATTAATCATGTCAATGTTCTGCACTTTCTCTCTGTCGTTAATTAATATATTCTTCACTGCAAATTGTACACATGCACTCATAATTTATCACCAACTCTGTCATATATGTGGTCAGACATACAGGAAAATGAAATAAAAGCTCCTATATTACATTTCATTTAATGTATGATTTTTCACTAAGTGGCTACTTGACATTATATTGTGAACTTTCTTTTTAGCATAAATTTATAGAAGTATACTGTGAAGAAAAACTGTCAGTTCTGTTTATTATTCTATCAAATTTGTTATCATTGGGTAAACGCTATGATAATGGCAATATTTACACTAGAATACAGGTGCTATAAACACATGTGCTTTTCTATAATTAGCATTTAAGAGCTAAAACTAAGTGCTGATTGGTCAGAAACAAATCAGCACATAATATAAACTAAGTGATCATGAGTGAAGAAATTGCTGGTACTCCAATTGTTGACATTTTAGCTGTAGAGAAATAGATAAGCAAACTAAAACGAAGGTGTTGTCATAAAGTTATTCCACAAAATGGGAACGACTTCATCAAATGTTCTGGAGAATATTCCCAATCGGTCGTGCAACTCATGTCCTCAATGTCAAAACAAAACATTACAATCAATCATACGAAACCGAGCTCTAATGTTTCCATTGACGTCGTATTAAAAATAGATATTTATTTCGAATAAATATAGCACGAATGTTTTTTTTTTTAATTTAAATTATCATTATCATCTTTTAAATGCTACTTTTCACTGATGAAACATGTTGATTTTTTCTTTTAAAATAATTCTATCATGAGTAACTCATACTGTCATGAAAAATGCTCTCATTTTTTTTTATCTTACAAATGTTTCAAGTATTATCAAATAGTACTATATTTAACATATCTACTAAATGAAATTTTTTTTAAAAAAAAATCTCACCTCCTCCTCTTTATGATCTTTAAAGCACAAGCATGCTGCTCGCCGTCTGAATCCATCCTTGTCATAAGTTCTTATCGAATTTGGCTTTTCTTTCACCATCTCAATAGCTTTTAATAAAACAACCCCTAAAAATTATCTCTTACTTATATATTATCCAATTTCATGTTAACATCGTGTATGTTGTATGTTGCAACCAACGACAAGCATATGAAAACGTTTCCCAGAGATCGTAGTGTACACATCCGGTTCCAAATTGACGTCTGCGTGGAGGGAACATTTGAAAATACGAAAAACAATGATTTTAAACGTAAAAAGGGGTGGACAAAAATCCTTCAATTGAAAGAGAGACACTTGATATGTTAGCTGCATATAATGTAGACCTCTCCATTTTTTTTAAATCTGATGTTCCGGGAGAGGCTCTAAAATATTTGCATGTCAGATATATCAGCGTAACAAAAAATAAGAAGGAAAACAATGGAAAGGTGGGGTATTTCTGCTGACAAAAATTATCTGGATTGCATAAATATGCCACCATAGAGATGGCTACATTATTGCAGCTAATTGAAATGTATTCCCTAAAATAAACTAGACGTCTCTAAAAGGACAGAAGCTCTACTGGTACTTGTTGTAGGCGGCCTATATTTATAAAGTTGCTCTCTTAGTGTAGCATTTCACATTTCTGTTTGAGTAATCTGTACACCTGTATGCTTAATCCCCATATCTGGTTTTCGGTAAAAGAAATTTGAGAGAAACCTTTGGGTGGAATGAATAGAGGAAAAAAAAAATTATTATGCATATTAATTCCGGGCATTGCAAACCCGTTTTAAATAATGCTAGATGTGGTGGGGGGTTTGTCCCGAGACACAGTTAGATTATTCTTACTAGGGGGCTACACGGAATGTTCGGTTTGGTTGTCTTCTGTGTTCTGATGTGGATACTTACAAACTCAGAGGAAACTTTTCGAAAATTTGAAATCACAAAATTTTAACAAAATCAATAACATCAAAACGTACGACTTTTCAACACTTTATACAATCATTCCCCACTATAAATTAAAGTCCAGGCTTTTTTAAAATCATATACAGCTGCTTTTTCAATAAAAATGGAACTCGTACATATACTTACCTTGTCATTGGTCATTTGCAAAATTATTTTGTTAAAAAACATTCTGATTTTACACGCAAGTACTCTGAAGTTGATATTAAAAAGATGCTTCAGTTTCTGATTGACAATATCCAGGTAATTTTTGGAGATCAAGTCTGTTGGAATTCTCATGGGTACCAATTGTGCGCCCTTATCAGCAAATCTATCTTTATATTCATATGAAGCAGAATTTATTCAAAAACTTCTACATGAGAAGAAGACAACACTTGCTGCGGCCTTCAACTCGACATTTAGATATATCGACGACGTATTATCAATTAAAAATTGTTACTTCCATTCATATTTCCCCTACCTATGTAGCAATATACCCTTATCACCTGCATATGGGGTTTTTGTCTCCCAGTTGATTCGATACGCAAGAGCATGCTCTGCGTAAATTTCTAAAACGAAGCAAACTATTGTCAAACAAGTTGACGAAACAAGGATATCAACAGTCTCGTTTGAAATCATTATTTCGCAAGTTTTATGGTCGATACAATGACCTTGTCAGCAAATACAACCTATCATTTAGTCAAATGCTGACTGATGTTTTTCATACTATTTGTTAGGCCATTATTTACACACTGAATTGTCTACGGATTTTTCCTGATCATGACAAGGAGCACACGGCGGGTGTGACGGGTCGACAGGGGATGCTCACTCCTCCATGGCACCTGATCCCACCTCTGATGTTTTTGGAGGTCCGTGTTTGCTCTGCTCCCGATGTGTATTGTTTAAATGGACTTTGAGCTTGAATACTGTTCGCTAACTCTATATTTCAATCTGTAATTTAATTTTTTGAAAGGGGTTGGTGAAAATGACAGATATACGTCACAGTAGACAGACCCAGGGAACAGGAAAAGGGGAGGGGGTAATTTTGTCAAATCATTTTATACAATATTTTAACATTTACCAATGGTAAATTTCGGTTGTAACCCCCCCCCCCCCCTCACCCCAACGTCTAATAACTTTTTTTTCTTGTCAACAATTTTCTGATTAGATCGTGCCCACCCATCCACCGTAAATGAAATTGATTTCTACAGGTCTGAATTTGTTGATGTCCAGCAATTTTTTTAGCATTTATTTTTGATGGGGACAATGACTTGCAACGCGAGATATCTGCAGCTTTAGATCGATCTCTAAAACCACATGATAATGTCCATAATAAATACTTATTTAATTTGTCATTGAGAATCAGTGAGGTAGAAGAGACCATCCGGTATAGAACCATCGATTTCACGAGTGTTCACGAATGCATGGATTGGTCATGATGGGGAAATATAGCTAAACAATCATGAATGACATTCTGTCTCATGAGGCTCCGGATTAAACTTAAAACTGTCAAAGCACGGGTCTCAGTTTTCGGTTTTATTTATTCTTTAAAAACAGGTCATCGGATTTTATACAATCAGCAGATTTTATAAATCGACAGAATAGAAATATATAATACAAAACGAGGTACTTTACATTTTCATATATAATATAAAAAAGATATTTAAGGAATGAATTTAATAGCTACCCAAGTCATACTGGTATAACCTGAGTTGGAGCAGTTTACGCTTTATAAACCGATACCAGTATGACTTGGGTAGCTATTAAATTCATTCCTTATAATTTAATTTTCCATCATTAAGAGTTAAAAAATAAGACAATTTCTCCTTCAAAAATGCCTTCAAATTGTACGTATTTTAAACGTAACGTCAAGCGGATTGATACGTTTTTGACGTAAGTCATTGTGACGTAGGCAACCCAGGTTATACGATATATTCTTATTTTTTTATCCAATCAAATGACACGTTACAATCAAAATAAAATTATTTATAAATATACCAATGAAAAGTTGCGCATGCATGCTTAATAACATTCAACAAAATGAATCTTTTGTATGAAAAAAAAGAAACCAAAAAAAAAAAAAAAAAAACAAACAAACAAACAAACAAAAAAAAAACCACAAATTGGATTTTCGTAGAGCTGTGGCTTTGAATAAAAAATCCCCAAGTTTTTTCATCATGATTAAAAACTGCTGCTTTTAAAACTCAAAGCATATGGCTTATCCAAACCAGCATTAGATCTGTTGAATAGCTATCTATCAAATAGGAAATAATATGTAAAAATTGGTTCTCACTTAAGGGAAATGCTGGATATTCTGAAATGTGTACCACAGGGATCCATTCTTGGACCTGTATTTTTCAATATTTTTATTAATGATTTGTTTTTATCTTTGTTAAAAATGTACCCTCTATAATTATGCAGATGACAATACTCTCGAAAAATCTCGTAAACTTTACAATATATTATAAATCCTTACAAGAGGACAGTTTATCTCCCATTAAATGGTTCTCCATGAGAAAACTGAAGGCAAACCCTGAAAAATTTCAAGCTATTGCAATCAGGTCTAAAACACAAGAACAACAAATATCTTTAACTTGAAAAAAAGGCAGCGAGACAACTAAATTCTTTGAAGTGGATTGGAAAATATTTGAATAGATTGGGAAAGCTCACCATATACCATAGTTTTATCATGTAAAATTTTAGCTATTGTGCCCTGACTTGGCATTTTTGTGTTGACCCCCCCCCCAAAAAAAAATAATAGAAAATTCAATTAAGAGCACTACAGTTTATTCATAATGGCTATAAAACTCCTGGAAAGATCCAAATTGCCTTCTCTAAAAAACTAGGAGAATTAGACTACTTGTACTTATAAATAAAAAAAGTCCCGTCTTTCTTCAAGGTCTGGTTAAAATTAGAGAGAATTCATACAATTTTACAATTTTAGGCATATCAATGCCGCAGAAAACCCAAGACCCAAAACTTTATTTTCATTTTGGACGCTAGTGGATATCTACGGAATTCACAATAAATGAAACTATTAACTGTTCCTGACCTACCCCTAACACTCTTTTTTCAATAATTAAGATGGATATTTTCATTGTTGTTAGCTTTATGCCATCCCCATACCACGTACACTACTAACGTAAGTATGAAAGACAGATAACTGTGTTTCGACATTGAATGCATGTGCTTTTAATGAACTACAAATAGTGTAAAAAAAACAAACAAAAAAAACACACACACACAAACAAAAAAAAAACAAGACGCCCATTGGCCACATCGCTTACCTGAGCACATTGGCTAGGAATAAAGCAGAAATCAGTTTAGTATAGAAAAGATTAAATAGATAAGTGATCGCAAATACCCCCCCCCCCCGAGGGGGGGGGAGGGAATCATTTGTTCACACTTGAATCTACACTAACTGAGGAGGATGCTTCCATATTTCTTTGACTAACCATGGCTCTAGAAGATTTTTTATTCTATATGTTTGATCTTCTAATGTGGCCCCGTCCTACCCATGTGGGAACATGATTTGAACAAACTTGAATCTACACTACCCGAGGATGCTTCATTGTGGCACCTCCCTACCCCCAGAGGTCATGATTTGAAAAAAAAACAAACAAACTTGAATTTACCCTACCGAAGAATGCTTCCATATAAATATAACCAATCATGGCATTGCTGTTCTTGAGAAGAATATTTTCAAAGATTTCTCCTATGTTTTCCGATGTAAAACTTTGATTGCCCATTGTGGCCCCATCCTATCCTGAGGGGTCATGATTTGAACAAATTTGAATGTACACAATGTTAGGAAGCTTTCACATAAGTTTCATCTTTTCTGCCCAAGTGGTTCTTGAGAAAAAGATTTTCAAATGATGCCACGCAATTTTTACTTTTTCTTAATCCAATATCTCCCCTTGGAAGAGGGTGTGGACCTTTTGAACAAACTTGAATCCCTTTTACCCAAGGATACTCTGTGCCAAGTTTGGGTTAAAACTGGCCCAGTGGTTCTGGAGGAGATGAAACTGTAAAAAGTTTGCAACAACAACTGACAAATTTTGATCAGAAAAGCTCACTTGAGCCTTTGGCTCAGGTGAGCTGGAAAGCCTTTCTACCTTGAGCTGCTTCATGTATCTGCATTTGTCAATGAAGATCAAGGATGTTCAGAGGAAAAAAAATGAAAATCTTATTTTTAAACAAGCATTCTGAGAGTATTGCATTAGCAATACTTGTCCCCTACCGGCAAATGTAATCTGGTTCCCGTTAAGAATTGAAAATGCCATAAATCCGTCAAAAATCAATGAAGCAGAATGAAATGCAAACTTGACCTATAACTAATCAAAGTAAAGTGACTTACCAAAAATCAGCTCTACATCTGAAAGCGTTTAGAAGAAAATTGCGGAAAACCCCTAAAAATTGAAAAGGCCGTAATTCCGTCAAAAATCAATGAAGCGGAACGAAATGCAAACTTGATCTGTAACTCATCAAGATACACTCACATACCAAAAATCAGCTCAATATCTGCAAGCGTTTAGGAAAAAAATGCGGAAAACCAAGTGGGACAGACTGACAAACAGACAGAGGGACAGACAGACAGCTGGACAGACGGACGGACAGACTCAGAGGAAACCTATAGTCCCCTCCAGTTTCACCGGTAGGGGACTAAAAAAGCGGGTTTACAGTGATAGGAACATTGCAAATGCCATCAAAATATGCTCTATTAACAAACTGGAACTTACTGCTCCCAGCACCTGATCTCACTTTAAGTATTTCCAGGGGTTCATATTTTAGCCTGTTCTCAATTCATATTGTTCCAATGATTTTCAAGATTGATCACTGTTAGTTATCTTTTTCATTGCATTTTCACTGTATTTTCCATGCTGGTGTCCTGTCCTCATTCAATTTTTGTTCTAAATCAGATTACGGTATTTCATTCAAATTCAACACTTTACTACTGGTAACTTATTTGGACTTTCCCTTATGCGTAGTATTTATTGTCAGATTGCTGTGTGCTGTGTATCAGATATATAAACAATATCAGTTTTCACAACTGTAATAAAATCGAAACTTATTTGTTGCAATTAGAGCTATGTTTTCCAGTATACATGTGACAAAGAAACGAGATGTTGCATGTCCTGCAAAAATCATTTACCACACAAAATAGGATAATTCAACATATTCTGAATACCAAATGAGCTATCCAGAGTGGTTCCATTTTCAGAAATACCTGCCTATGCCTGAGTATGAAATGTGATGCTGGCACTATACAATGCTTTTGACAGTGCACATTCCACAACTTATATTGCACAAAATGTAGATATGCAAGTCATAAATATCATAAAATTGGTCCAAGAACTACATTTGATGTTCATATATGAACATTAATGCATGTTTATATCCCATGACTCATTTTCATCATGCAACATCTAAAAGTTCAAAACAGAGGACAAAATATTTTAGTATATAAGTAGATTGTGAATCAATGGCCAAGGAGAACACTGAACATCCGAATAATAAAGGAAATAAATTGTATTTAAATTTTAACTTTATAAATATCATCAACACATAAATGAACCTTTTCTTCATAATCGAACCATGCATTACTTTCAAGAGATATTTTAAGATCTACACTCAATGCAAGTTTAAATACCATTAAAATGGTTTTATGCACATAAATCAACTTTTTTTTTATCAATTTGATGTATTTAACTAATTCACTCCTACACATAATAACCTTGACAATACAGTATACCAGTCCATTAATAGCTGGTTCATTTCTGTATTCATTTCTCTATTCATTTAAACACATTAAATCTCTTCAGATGAATAAAATTCAAGTTGGCTTTCAACAATACAGTTATTTATTATTAAATATGTTCTAACACCTTCTCACACCCATGTTTACCTGAATATTGACATAGATGAATATACCAAGCAATCAAAACACATGTAGATGTAAATAATTAATGATGATAATGTGTCATGATATTGCAAAATATGACTTGATAATCAGCCCTACTAAATCTAATGACAAAGCAACTCAAACACATCCGATTTTTTGAATTTCACTCTCCATTTCACTATAACATACACCTTTCACAAATTTTACATTTCTTGTGAGATGAAAAAAAGTTTTATATGACTTTGCTAAAAAAGTAAAGCACAAAGCAATATTTGAAAATTAAGATAAATTGAAAGTTCATTCTATCTTCAGAAATTCAATCTCCATTCTCTGAGTAAAAAAAAAATATCCAAAAAGATTCAGGAAAAGATGCTGTTTATAAATACACATGGCTTCGGAGACATCAGATCATTAATAAAATGAAATACAACTTTAACTAAAAGATTGCACATAAAATGACAGTTTCCAGTAAATCTATGATGGTAACAAAATCACTGTCTGGTTTTATCAGTAGCACATATCATTTTTTAACATAAACTTTCATGCTAAATAAAATTAATAAATCATCAACAAGTAAATTGAAAATATTTATAAAGAGTCCACAACTCATATTTGATATTTCTGTAGAGAAAAAGCTTGATCCATTAAAGTTCTGTCTGGAGTGCGGATGAAATACTGACAGTCTGTCAAGAGTTACTTCTCTTTCTTGGTTTTTTTCTCCTCTGAGTCCTCCCCCTCTGGTTTTTCTGGGTGGTCCTCAAAGCTGTAAGGTAAGTAGAACCCGTTAACAACCCAGCATAGATGTTTAGATTTATGATTGTTTGTAACCAAATGTAAATGGAAGTCAACAAAATGGGTGTTGTGGAACACTGATACCCCAGTATAACAGCATGTTCAAAAGTAGGTCAAGTCCAAGGTTAGGGTCACAGGGTCAAAAATGTTGGTACCCAAAGAAATGTCTTGTCACAAGAAATACACCTGTGAAATATGTAAGCCCTTGCACCAACCATTCAGAAGTTATGGCCAAGGTAAAAGTTTTTTTTTTTTCAAAGATAGGTAAAACTCCAAGGTCAAGAGGTCAGAAATGTTGGTACCCAAAGAAAGGTCTTCTCACAAGGAATACACGTGAAATACGAAAGCCTTAGACCAACTGTTCAAAAGTCATGGCCAAAGTTAAAGTTTTTGCAGACAGACAGAGAGCTAGACAGACAGACAGAATGATTGACAGACCAAAAACTTTATGCCCCAGAATCTTTGATAACAGAATCATAAAGATATATCCATAATGTTCACAAATAAAACTTTTTATGCTATCTTTATTTCCATATCAAATTAAATACCTCTTAAGTAGATTAAATGCATGACAAATATTATCTTCAATAATGAAGTTATGAGCTATCTTTACTAATAAATTAGATTAAATACTACTAAATTAGATTAAATGTATGATAATCAGGGTTGTCCCTAAGACCCGGGGGCCAGGGAATTTCCCCACCTATAATAACATTATCCCCTGGTTAATCTTGCATTCCCTCTCAACCCCTTGTTAAGGGAGGAACCCCAGACCTCCTTTCTACCTTTCTAATGTCCCCTCCTATTTCAATTCTTAGGGACAACCCTAGATAATATTATGTTCACATATGATTTTTTTACTGTCTTTCCCAGTGAATTGGATTTAATACTACCTATCTAGATTAATGTATGATGAATACTAAGACCTTTAAATAGAAAATAAGTAGTGACACTAAACTGACCTAAACATTTCTTTGATGTCTCCCTTGACCAGGGCTGTTATGAGTGGAAAGCCTGTACAGGCCGGCACCAGGTACAACAATGCTGGCTGTAAATGAAGTCATTATGAAATTACCAAACAAAACAGGAAAATGCTGTAAATTTCTATTAATTTCCTCTTGCATGATGCAGTAGAGAATCTAAGCCACTTTGCTATGTGCTGTAGTGTATGAAAAAGGCTTAGGACTATCACAGCCACAGCTTAAACTTCTGTAAATCCCTCGGTTGCATTTCATGTTTGTGTCAATTCAACAACTTAAGTGTACTTTGTAAGGCAGAAAATACATTTATAGCATGTCACCTACCTGAGCGTGTTTGAACACATGCATGACTAGAATGGTGGCCCCAAGACCTAGACAGTAGGCAATAAAACTGGCATAAAAGTAAGTTTTGGAGTTCTTCTTTTGGCTGAAAGTAAAAGGTCAGACCACATTTAAATTATGCATTTCCAAACAAATTTATGACATTCCAAAATCTTAAATGCATAGTGGAAGGCTTACTAAACACCAAATTCTGCTGCATCATTCAAAAATTTTCCCATTTAAAATTTACATAATGCATCAACATTTTCAAAGAGAGATGCAAGTTCCTTTACAGTCACCTGAATAACGTTAGCTCAGATTATGAAGAATTAAGTTTAGGGATGCAAAATTTTATTGGTATATGGGTATATCATGATTTTCATTGACATCCAAGCACCCAAACATGCTTTATTATAAAAATAAAAGAAAGAAAAAGATGAGGTTATGTGTTTTCCAAACTCGAAAATCCTATTTTGTGGGGTGGGGGTAGGTTTCAACCTCTTTCAGTACCAAATTTTATTCATACACTGTTATAAACAAGTTGCTGTAGAAACTAGCATCGTTCAGTATCAATTTGGTATAAATAGTTACCGAAAAAATATATTCTGTAATTAATTTATTATCTTTTAGCTTACAATATTCACATGTCTTGATGAACCTGACTCAATTGGCTAGTCTGTCAAAATCTTGATATGTGTGAGAGACGATTTCAAAATATCCTCATTAAAATTAGCAATTATAAGAATTAAATTTGCATGTTTGGTCAGGGCTAGTAATTTTAAGGTCAGGGATAGTAAAAATAATGGGAAGTAGTCCGACTGGTCTAGTACTTGTAAAAGTTAATGTCAAATCCTGTATCATGGTCGTGTTGGTTTTGCTGGCTCAAACATTTCAGGGAAAAGACTGACAATGTTCCTAAGACTATGAATGATGATACATGGTTTAAGGTACTTAGGTAACCTACAATTTGTTTAATTATACATGTTATGAGAAATAACAAACCATATAAATAAAGGTACATTTGAACTGAGAAGATGTGAAATAGTGAGGAGGTACATTTTTCTGTGGATATTAATATATGCTATGAATTTGGTCACAAAAATTTCCCACCGAAATTTTTCACAGAGTACAGAGTAGTAAAGTGTTTCCATTTACTTAATTATAATGCCAATCCATGAAATTTGCATAGTTTCCTACAAGTGAATGGAACAGAAATTGTGTTTCCATGGAATTATGACCCTGTGGCAAAAAGTAGTCAGATTTACACAGAAGAGTGTGGCATGAATGCAGAACTTACCTGATATCAAACCTAAGCAAGAGAGCAATGAAGATTCCTGGGATGACTATATCCCCTAACCCTAGCATTGCGAAGTTGTTGGCAGCTAACCCCTTCTCTAGCAGGTCTTGTGGGAACACCACTGAAAACATAATTGCCAGATATTAAAATCAAATATGTACATGTAAACACTTACGACATTCCTAGTAATTGTTAGTTATTTAAGAAATAATGCCCGAAGGGCTCGGTTTTTATTTGCCAACAAAATCTTGAGACTGAAGGGAATATTCTCCAACAGTTCCAAGGATGAGGTAATTATTACTATTCTGCTACGGCAAATATTTAAACTTCTCCACAGAGAAATGCAGAAGTTTTATTTTGATGTCATCATAAGTGTCTTATGACGTCACAATTGAATGCTATACCTCATTCATATGTATCTCAAGGTTTAGAAGAAGTATGATGTAGTCCAAACCCAAATAAATTTTTTCCCTCCAATTTGTATCACAATCAAATGATACCTCTATCTAGTGAAGGCAGTCAAAATTAGAGGAAACCCATTTAAAATTATCGATAATTTGCTGATGACTTTTGTGATTTATTGGAGAATAATGGCCGTGGCATCTCTTTGATCTTTGTAATAACCGTAGTAGAATACTGTTAAGAACACTTTAATTCACCCTACCCTCAAAATATCACATTAACAGTTAACATTATCTGAATATCTTAATTTTAATCACTTGTTGCTCATACAAAGGTCTGTATTTGGTAAAATTTCCTAAAATTCTTTTGTAGTCTTGACAATCAAGCATACACAGAAATAAATGTGTAATTCTGCAGCAGAAATAATACATCATGTGAACAGCAACAAAATGATAATATTTATTTTGCTGAAATTTCTGTATTAAAATTTGTTTGGAGAAAAATGATCTAATGGGGGGGGGGGGGAGGGGGGGGGGGGCTTGAAAAATACATATTCTGGGTTTGATAACAGTTCTTTTAAAATTAATCTTTTCTAGTAAATATTTCTTTTCTTAAATGAAATGTACAGGTAACAACTATTTAGGACTACAAAAAAGTCAGTTGTCTTCTAAATACTTGCTACAGTGTAATGCTTACATTTGATAGGTGCATCAAATGATTTGGCAACTGTGACCATCACATTGGTACCAAACACCTGAAAGAGGAAAATGGAATTGCTTAAAATGCTTATCATACACAGATCATATCAAGTTGAAAAAAAAATTCCGTGAGAATTTTAACACAGATGAATATCAATGCTAACTTACCCAGAATATATCATAGATAAAGAGACCACCCAGGAGAATGAGACCAGTGGTGATTCTGTTTAAGGACAGCATTTCTACTCCACTGATGGCAAATGCCAGGCCAAACAAATTGTTTGCAATCCAGTGCTGAAAACAGTACCGGTATATCAAATAAATAATGCTTTAAACAAGTAAAAAAAAAGTGATTATGAATGTCCAAGGGATAGTACAATAAAAATAATCTGTAATAAAATTATGATCTTTGAAGTCTAAATATTAAAGAGATTGAGATGCAGAGACAATGTATGATAAATATAATTAATTGGTGAGTACAGAATTTAACTTGTTAATTCATTATGAAAATACCACTACATGTGAGAGATCTCTTTTAAACACTTCTGATAGTGTGTGTGAATTCCTACCTTCTCTTTTAGATACCATACACCAATGAGAGCACACACAGCATGACACAGCAAGTCTTTTCTGTCAAACTCATAATTCATTAACTCTGTAAACAAGATAACTAACACTCAGATCATGCTAAATTAGTTTACCAAGCTTTAAATCACTAAATTGTGAAAACATAACTTACCTTCTTTCTTCTCTTTCCCTTGGGTAAATATCAAATGGTACTCCATGTTTGGGAATGATGCTGGGATATACTTTGTAAACAGTGGTCTATAAAGGAAACATCTAATTTAAACTAACAGCATCAATGTATACATGAATTATCAGATGTATTTTACTATTTCTTCTTAAACTCATACTGTGGAATCATCATTATTCGTGGGATACCAATGTTTGTCAATTTCGTGGGTCACCCTTACCCTCGAAATTACATCCCCACGAACATTTATTTTGTAAACATATTGATTCATTGAATCTACCGTATAGATGATAACCCACAAAATAATGTCCCCACAGACAAGTAAAATTTTGCTTGCCTATGAACTTTGACCCCCTCAAATTAAGATGAATCCACAGTGTATAATGACTTCAAAGTTACTTACCCTACCAAGTTGGCTAGAGCAAACACCCCAAGGAAGAAGAAATAGACAGCCAGGAGGAGGTTTATATACTCCTTAGAGAATATCTGTAACAGAACAGTTACATGTTAGTAAGATATCAAAATTAGCTAAACATGACTTCAACACCTTCCTTTATTATGATATGACTTATCTTTCTTTATTATATCCATCATCAGTAATGCTTTTTACTTATTATTATTATTTTTTTACCTACCTGAAAAATAAGGTAAATTCCAAAGAGTGTCCCACTGGCAATTATGGGAAACATGGCTGCATCTTTATGAGACATTTTGTCTGGTTTTTCACCAGACTCCTGGATAAAGAAAATTACAAATAAATTACACGTATACAGTGTCAATAAGATTTTAACAGCAATAACATTCTTCAAGCAGAAATATAAAATTATTTCTATGTGTACTTGGCTCTGAAGTTGAGTAGAAAGAATTAAGAATAAAGAAATGTAAATAATTCACTACAGAACTGTTATCATGTACAATATTAAGCTTTACTGGATATGGCATTAACAGCATACTTTCTAATTAAAGAAATAAATTCTTGAGAACATTAATTATAATGTCATTTTGATTTCATGTGGACCTATATGTACATTTCATCAAGAAAGGTTGTTTAATTGTTATCAGTGTATACACTTGAAGCATGTGACAGTAGTGCAACTGGTCAGTGTACACCACTGATACCAAACAACCTCTCTTTTTACACAATGACTGAAGGATGAGACAATACGGTAGAAGAAATGTATGAGGATATTATGATGATTACCAAAGAGTGCTTAATACTTATCACAAGAGTAATGATTTTAGGAGCTATATATTTATTGGTGAGCAGTGTTTTCTCTTTATTTCAAAAAAGGGTTAAGAAATCAATTGTAACCAGCTAGGGGTTGATGTTTATGAACAAAATTTTCATGGACCTTACAACAATTATTTTTCAATTTTTTTTTTTATTATTTCCAAGCAACATTTTTATCAATTGAAGTGGTCAATTTGGCCAGTTGTCGGCTCTTAGGGAAAACACTGGGTGAGCATCATTAAATAAACACTTAAACAGAATAAAGAAATGAACATATACATCATTTCCAATCTAATTGAAATTAGATCTTTGATCTGTTCCAACTAGATTGCTACACATAGTACATCTAATTTTAATTAGATTGAATCATTTCAGAAGTTAGGGAGAACCCCCCACCCCTAATTGATGGTTTCCTGGCATGCCAACCTGTGTCCTTATTCCTTAATCAACTTTAGTATAGGGTCCAGGTATATCTTCTAATTAGAGATAATCCTTAAAGGCAGAGATTTTAAGCACCGCCTTCAAAAACTCCTGGTCTGTGTACCCCTGTCAATCAAGTGCATTAAGGTACATCATTGGGTACTAGAACTTGATTGACATTTTCTTACTTGTCTCTGTGTATACCCTGAACACCTTGTCTGACACTCATGGTGACCGTCAAATTAACTTTTGATCCTTTGATATTTACCACACATGGTATAAACAATAGAGAAACTGTATTACTATGGGAATTTTAGCTTGAAAATATATATACATACACACCTTTAGTATTTGAAATAATTATGATATTCTTTATGATAATATATATCTAAAATAAGTATAACTTTCTTTCAAAGCTCAACAAATACTTTAAATAATATTATTTAAATGGGTGGAGATGCTTTGTTGACACACATTCAATTACAAATTAATGAAAATTATTGAGATTAAACTTTATTTCCAACTTTTTATTTCTAATATAAAATCATCTCAAAAAAGTAAAAAAAAAAAAAAAAAGGTAAAGTTTGACTTCTTGGGTATTCTACTGTGTATTAAATCACTTCCTGTGTATAGAGATTTTGAGACAAACGACCACAGGTAGACTGTTAGCCCTCAAGGCATTCACACCTGTACAAAATAAGCCCCTCCCTCACCTGGAATTTACCACCCAGTAAAAAATTTCTGCCTTTAAAGGCAGAGATTTTAAGCACCACCTTCGAAAATCTCTGGTCTGTGTACCCCTGTCAATCAAGTGCATTATGGTACATCATTGGTTGCTAGAACTTGATTGACATTTACTTACTAGTCCCTGTGTATACCCTGTACACCTTGCTTGGCACTCGTGGCGAACTTCAAATTAACTTTTGATCCTTTGATATTTACCACACATGGTATAAACAATAGGGAAGCTGTATTTTTAGCTTGATAACATACATATACAAACCTTTAGTCTTTGAAATGACTCTCAGACTGATATTCTTTATGATAATAATAATATATATCAAAATTTAGTACAACTTTTTTTTCAAAGCTCAACAAATACTTTGAATAATAATTTTCTTAATGGGTGGGGATGCTTTGACACTCATACAATTAAAAATTAGACTGCTAGCCCTCAAGGCATTCACACCCATAAAAAATAAGCCCCTCCCTCACCTGGAATTTACCACCCGGTAAAAAATCTCTGCCTTTAAGTGGCAAATGTTTTTCAAAAACTTCAGTTGCCTTTAAATGCCTAAAAAGGATGTTCCAACTAAATTACATCTGAATAATAATGTAAATCATCAATGTATTATATTTAGCGTATACAATTTTTGGCGGAAATCAATTTTTGAACAAGTTTTTGGCGGAAATCAATTCTGAACAAGTTAGCATAGATTTGATTTAGCACATATCTTAATGTTCTTATTAATATGTGTTTATGAGCCAGTCATTTAGTGTTATACTTGAATTAACAGGAGTTGCTTTCCGCCAAAGGCTTTAAAAAGAATACATAGCCAAAGATAACATGTTTACAGTAACTGATCAAGCCAATATCATCTAATAAGTTTTAATAGGATTGCTATTGGTCCACAGAAAATATGATGGGTTGATCAAGCCTCACAATAGAGAGGTGGGGTGGAGTCCGGGCCCTCTTTTGGCTTTGTGGATGATTAGTAAACAACTCAATAATTTGCCAGGTTCCAAAAGTTGTTTCATGTTTTAGATATATTTTCATCCTTGATTCTCACAATCACATAACTGAAAAGGGGGAGGTTGCTCTACATTTCAAAAGTGCATTGCCCCATTGGCTAAGACTTCAATATTTCAAATTAATTAGCATAAGAAATTAATGTTGACATACATTTCCGAATACATTGACCTTTAATGCTGTCAGTAATCTCAGCAGGCACATGACATCAGTTTTTCAATGGAAAAATAAGGAAACAAGGAAAAATAAATCAAAAGGAACCAAAAAATAAAAATAAAAAAAAAATCAAGAACCAAAAATTTTCAGTTCTTTCTTCCATACGGAATTCTCTAGTTTAAGTCATTATTTCAAATTTTTTACCCTTATCTTATAATTTTTATCCTATAACAAGGCTGGATCAATTAAATACAATAAGCAAGAATTACATTAAAATTGATTTGCTGAGCATTTATTTTGATTCTAAAAAAGCAAAGAATATTCAAAAAACAACTCAAGGATTTTTGCCACATATGGCGATTCTGCCTCAGCAGCTGCTGTATATTTCTATCACATCTCAATCATTAAATGAAAAAAAATTAAGATTTTATGCTTTTCTTAGGTTTTAGAACGCCAGAATTAACACGAAGAAGTAAAAACATTTGAAAACACTAATGAGAATACATCGATACAACACATGTCGAGATACTCGCTTACCCTCTGATCCGTATGGTACTTCACCGAGCGCATAGCACCGAAGAAAATTGGAAGAACAGCCATGAGACATAAGCTTCCATATGCAATGGCCATTCCCTCTGGGGTGGCAGGGATTTTAGTCGTGGCATTAGCTGCGGTTTCGTTCATTGTCGCGTTGACAGCCGGTGCTTCTGTTACAGTGTCTGCCATGTTGACAAGTTTCGGTAATCGTCACAATCTCGCGAGATTTTATAAGCGCCCTCTGCACTTCCGCTTACGGCGAAACAGGTGCGTCATAAAGTAATATATTTATCTGTTTCTTATATGAAGCTTTCCTGTAAATAAGTGACCATGATTTTTTCTTAAATAATTTCAAAATGTATCGCCGTTAATGATTGAATATCTGAATAATGGTTTACACATGAATTTTTTGCTTTTCTTTTTTTTTTTTTGTTGTGAAATTGAAATCAAAGAAATGGAATAATTAGAAACATGTTTATATGTCTCTGATTTAATATAATTATATCTCTCTGTAATGCTCTTTCTGTTCAGGTTATTTAACTGGTACGTAACATAATCTTTTATCCTTAGCCAGTACCCCCCCCCCCCCCAAAAAAAGAAGAAGATCGATTTCATTCAGTTCTAGGGCAAGGCATTTTGTATATTTACACAATCTTATATTGTTTTGTTGATTTTTTTAAATTCACATTATTAACCACACAGCCAATTTATGCAGTTAAACTAAGTTCAAAAACAAATTAAACCTGGATATTGCGTATACTTTTATTCAGTTCCAAAGTATGGATGGAGGACCAGAAACCAAGTTTGGTGTTTGACTTCCTGCATGTAGGTATAAGTACAAAATTTCTAGGAACAAATAAAATTACACGTCAATTTAAATCGAAATTGTAAATAGATATATCAGGGACCTATATACTAGTATATAGGTCCCTTGATATATTTATTTAAAAAATCTATTATTATGTATCTTTGAATATATTGATTGTAATTCAGTACTTCGATCATTATTCCAGAATAGCTGAATATTTTGTCTTTCTCTCCATAATCAAAATGAAATTCAGCAGAGGGGCCTACTATCGGAAAATGCTACCAGAATATAGGTACACCCCCGCCTCTCGCAGGGTAGGTGCCACAACGTTAAATTCCGCGGAAGAGGGGGCAGTTACGAAGTATAGTATATCGAACCTATTCAGTGGGGTTTAAGCTCTGCGAGTATAGCTGCATGACCAACCTTTGATCTGCTGCACATCGTATAAGACCAATGACAGAGCAAACGAAGAGCTATTTCTACCTAGTTTACTTTTATGGTCCGTATTATAATTAGAAAGCTTGCAGAAGTTGAAATATATACAGGTTCTACAGATTTGTGTTTATTGAGTATATATACAATATACCAAAATCAGAGACATATAATTATATGTCTCTGACCAAAATCAACTATATATAGGATCTCCCATGATTTGTAGTTGGATATGATTTTTATCCAACGAGTTGTGTGTTTTTTTTATCCCCGAGCCTTGGCGAGTTGGATAAAAGTCATATCCAACTACAAATCATGGGAGATTCTTTTTATCCCTTGTTTAATACTTCACAACCAATGTTTTACACTGTTTTATATATAGGACTCCACTTTATTTTACTTCAATACGCTAACGCAAAAACCATTATGACGTCACAACTGCACTTAACTGTGGATTATGAAAAATTTATCCAATTAAGAAATAAGGTATCATTTTTAAACATCTATCGGGCTATAAATACGGGTTGGTCACGAGATCAAATTCCTTAAAGCCCGAAGGGCTTTATGGTAAATTTGATCTCGTACCAACCCGTATTTATAGCCCGATAGATGTTTTAAAATGATACCTTATTACTTATATTTACATTTGTGACTTATTCATATTTTATATTTGCCTGATTATAATCTTTAACGCGTGAAACATTTTATTTTTCAAACCCAACGGCACGTGTTTGATCCACTGAATTGTTCGTCGACCCTTTATGACGTCACTGAGAAATTACGTCGAACGTTTATGACGCGAGGAACCCCTGTTTATACGGATATAGATACGCATTGCTTTTGATAGTGTTATATAAAAGAAAACATTTGCAAATGTAAATATTGAGTCATATCCACGGGATAAAGAGGTAAACATGGGATAAACCTATTTATATAGACAATACTTTATATTTATCACATTGAAAACAACTCATTACCCATCAATCGCTAACCATTAGCATATTGTAGGGAAAACCACACCAGTAACCACTGTGGCTTACAAAAGCAAATCATTGTTTATTTAAATCTGATAGATACGTATTTAAAGGCATTTGAAGTAAACTGTAGAACTGTCTACTATTTATATATATTTGTTAAGCAATTTGTACCTACTACAGGTTCTCCTTAAGAATTGAAATAGAAGGGGGCATTTATAAAAGTAGAAGGGGGACTGGGGTCCCTCCCCTAATGGGGAGTTTAGGAAGAATAACAAAATAACCTAGGGATTACATCATTATAGGCGAGGAAATTCCCCGGCCCCCTGGTCTAAGGGACAACCCTGTACTATATTTGTAATTAATTAAATATAACCTTTATTATTGTTTTATAATCTTTACCAACCATGCAGACAAGATTTTTTTGGTCTATTTACACTTTTGTTATCTATAAATATAATCAATATAAACAACATTCCAACAAGTATTATTTACAATGAGTTTTTATTAAGTACAGTATTGTATTTTCGCACATATTAACTCATGATTCCTCTGCTTATCAACTGCAGAATGATGATCACAATACAATTAAATTCAAGATCCCGGCGAAGAATTTGTCCTGCGAGTGCCTTTACACAGGGCCTTTCTACAGTAGTTCATCATCTCTGCGGAGGCTCTATGCAACAAAGTACAAGTCTGACAAAAAATTCTCTGGACTTTTGGTACTATTCCCTCTCTTCTGCTCCTGATACCTAGAACAGAATATAATAAATATATATAATGTTGATTTATCTTTAAATTATCACTGATTGCGCTTTACGTTTCTATCTCGCTTCCGGTGGGCTATATCTGTCGCCTTTATTAGCCGACCTGTTATTCTATTCTCATGAAGCAGAATTTATTTTCGGAAAAAACTTCAGAAGTAGAAAAAAAAAAACTCTCGAGGTGGCCTTCAGTTCGAATTAGTTCCATCGACAACATTTTATCAATTAACAATTATTTTCATGCATGTCTCGACTCGATATATCCCAGTGTACTTGAAATAAAACACCACAGAGTCTGCTACATCTGTTTCACATTTGGATGTTTTACCAACTATAGACATTAAAGCCCAACTAACAATATCACATGGGACAATTTCAGCTTTTGTAGTAACATTCAACAATTACCTGTATATGGTGTTCATGTCTCCCATTCTGAGCACGATCAATTTTTAAACCAAAGCAGACTACTGCAAAACAAGTTAATACTACAGGAATTTAACAATCTTGATAAAAATCGTCATTTTGCAAAGTTTTTGGTCGTTATTTTGACTTTATTTGCAAATATTTACATTTTCCAATGTCTTTGTCCGAGTTAAAACTACAAATAAGGTAAAAGCTTTGTAACCCCATAAATCGATTTGCTCAGCATGTCACAAACTGCATGCCTTTTTCGCTGTGTGTTGCTTAGTTATACACCTGGCAGGGATGCTGAGATTTCTTATCATTGAATAATTTTTTTTTTTTCAATTGAATCAAGGATCAGGTAAAAATGTAAATATAAGGAAAAACTGTCTGGTTTGTTGGTTTTATGACGATGATCAATCAATTTGCTCGCGCCTTCGGCGTTTATACAAATTATCACGCGAGCAAATTGATTGATCACATCATAAAACCAAAAAACTAGACAGTTATTCCTTAAATACAAATTATCTTTGGTTCGTATTATGACTGTTTCCTTTCAATTGTCAGGCCATTTTTGTGTACCAATTTTGATTACGGAATACTCCTTTTACCTGCTCACAACACAGAGGGCTCAGCGCGGATGTGACAGGTTGTCAGAGAATGCTTCAATCTCCTAGGCAGTTGATCCCACCTCTGATGTTTCCAGGGGTCTTTTTTTTTTACTCTGTTCACGATTCGTATTGTTTACAGAATGTATGAGATTGATCACTGTTATTTTCATCCTTTTCACTATGACTTCCAACAAGTCCTAGTATTTTGCTTTGAATATTCGTGCCGCAATAAGTAGTTGACATAACACCAACCTCCAAGTATCTCTATTGCATGCAATATGCGGTACGTTTTCAATATACTCAGGCACAAAAACACGACTCCAAAATATGCGCTGGAATGTAATAACAAGGCTTGTATCGAAATCTTACCTGATGCACTGTGATGCTTGGTGGCAGAGATCATTCCCATTATAAAAAACAAACAGATCAGGAACCGAGAGCTCAACAGGAGATTCATGTTTTCTTTAATGTGTGGTCAAAGTCCTCGCTAGCTCCACATATTTATGACAATTTTCAATCATTTTTTTCCTCACCGGCAGGTATTGATGTGTTTCCTGACACATGTTGCGTGGTTAATGCCGATAATTTTTTTCCTTCTTTATCGATCTCTGATTAAATTTCTAAAAGTTTGTTAAAAATAATATACTTACTTTCATACAGAAATACTATTAAGATTTTCAACAGTTAATATCACAGATGTTGCAGATTTCTTATTGATGCAAAACACCCAATATATCATCATCAAACTTTTAGGATACATATGTACTGACTGACGACAATATTGCGTCAAACACCACCCCTGCATGAAGAAATGTGTTATTCAGTGATTTATTATAACAATTTAGAGATTTCGAAGTTACAAGACAGTGAGTTCCAATTCCAAGTTATATTTAGGTCAAGATATTCAACATATATATAATCTCGATCACATTTGAGTATTTTCACGGTTTCTCAAGGTAGTCAAGTGATAAGACGGAAATGTTTGAATTTCATTTTTCGTTCAGTAGTTTATCTTTTTTGGGAGGATCAGATCCAAGATGTTGATGCATTTCGTTTTAAGGTATTTGATGTAAAATAGAGGGATATATGATATTTCCAGTATACATTCAGCTTAAAAATCCTTATAAAATGTTAAAGAAATAAAAACAAACAACATGAAATGTATGGAGAAAATCCTTTGATTAACATTAAGTTTTACTCACAATAGACGATAAGGGACAGCTAACAACTAAATTGTATGTCAAAAGATATGACGTCAGGTTTTCCATGTTTATGTAGTAACATTCCACTATCACCTGAAAATGGTGTTTGTCCTCCAACTTATTCAATATTCAAGAGCATGCTATGAGTACGATCAATTTTTAAGAGACAGGCTACTGAAAAATAAGTTGGAGTTAGTACTTTGTTAATTCTATGGTCGTTATAATAATCGTGTTAGCAAATACAAAATATCCTTGGGTCTTATTTTCACCGACATATTTCTTACCAATTGTAAGGTCTTTTGATTTTATACTAAATTTGACTACGGATTATTCCGTCTACCTAATCAATAAATTGAGCTTACGGCGGGTGTTTCAGGTGGACAGGAGATGCTCACTCATCCTAGGCACCTGACCCCACCTCTGGAATTTCCAAGAGGCCGTGTTTTATGTCCTGCTCACAGAAAAGTATTGTTTTGTAAGTTTTTTTTTTAAATCGACCACTGTTCGTTTTCTTCCCCTATTTCATAAAAAGAGTTATCTGCTCTTCTAAAAATCTGTAAAATATTTAATTTCTCTAAAATTTGAATGGTGACCCAGCATTTTAATACATAATACAATTTAGAATTATTTTTTTGTGGATCTCTTGACCAAATACCCTTTTTTTTCCCAAATATTAACTCCTTTATTTTTTTTTAACTCATGTCAAACTAAGCGTTGCCAATATACTTCTTTGTTAAATTAATTAGGTTATATCTTTCTATTTTGACACAATTTAAAAAAAAAGTCTCTCGGTGATGCATCTTCTTCTACAAAGATGATGGGCGAACAAGGCGAGCGGTCGTACGACACATGAAGACGAAAAATTTAATCTCAATTATAACAAAATTTTCTTTGATATTTCATCTTACATTAAAGTACATGTATGCGTATTCATCTCAAAGAAAATAATACTCAGGATTAATAATCTTTGCCGATAAAATGAGTTATCTCTCTTCTTCCATCTCTCTTGCAAATGAGAGATAACTCATACTCATTTTAAGAAAGCCCTGAACAAGACTCACTGATGAGTTCTAAATTCATTGTCGTTTTTATGCAGTCAGAATAATCTGCCCTTTGGGGTAAAAATGGATTAAACAGAAATTTAGAGTAAATGACACAATTTAGAAAAGATTAAAGTAAGTAACATTATATTTGATAAAGCTAAAGTAATTGAAAACATTTTTTTACAGCTACATCTCTTCCCAATGCAAGTAAAAACATTGAATTTCTGTTCACTAATACTTCATTGTCTTTGAACATGTTTACAGGAGATATAATGTAGTGCCCTATAGTGAAACTCAGTATGTAAACCTTCATATGGTACAACTTTCTCAAACTTCCAAATTAAAGTTATTGTTTAGAGCCCCTTCAAAATCCATCCAAACATACCCCATGTTGTGGGGCTTTAGTGATTTAAAAAGTTTTTAAGTCTCAAGTCTATGATTTCTAGGGGTCTCTGATCACAAAGTACAATAAAAGGGTTTTCTATAATTCACCTAAATATGACTTTCCTTATTAGGGAATCAATTACTGGTCAAAATGCCATGTCATGAAATGGGCAGCATTTTATTTATTTCAAACCTTCATAGAAAGGCTTTTGTTGACAAAAATTTGATTGTATCTCTAAATTCCATGTTTCTACCAGCATTCACATGTACTTTTGAGAGTGTCCTTTTTTCTGGTCTTTAACACTACATCTCTTTTCAGCAACAAACTGAGAATCAAGGTAAAGGCAACTCTAGTTGTGTTTACCAAATTCAATCTTTTTAAGGTCTCATGTTTTTTTGGGAAGAAAAGGTAAAGTTTATGCATCTCTATATTACACATAATATCCAATGCACATTTTGTTTGCTTTCTAAAACATTGCAAAAAATAATCATACAATATTCTTCCATGAAAAAAGAAGAGAGAATCATTCTCGTTTTGTGCGACTGTAAGGTGAGAGGATGCGAGACTCCTGAACACAATCTTCTAGTCGTGTTTGGCAGCTTTTCTTGTAATAGAAAGCCTGTCATTTTCTTTATCTGAACGTTCTCATATTGAAATCTTTGTCATAAATATCTACGGGAAACTATTTCTCATAAAATAGGCAAAACTTCCAGCCTTTCATAATTACTATCCTCTTGTGGCAAATAATAATGGCGATTTTTTTTAAAATGTTTTTATACATATTAGTGAACAAGAAAAGTCTATTCCTTCTTATATATATTAGACAGCTTGTAAAAAAGATCTCTCAAAAATACATGTACATGTAATTGCAAAACGTTCCACTACCTTATGATCAAAAGGGTGAATCCCCATTAAGGTACAAATATGATTAATGTGGTAATATAAAAGAAATACAATAATTTGGATTTTCAATTTTCTTTACATTACGTAATAAAAATGAACCGGTTTAAAGTGATATTTGTTACATGTATTTAAAAAAAACTGCAGTGACAACTGAAACATTCATAATTATTAATAACTTATGTTCTCAGCTGCAGTCTCCTGGAAAGTCTCCTGGGACGAACCATTTCATGATAAAACATAAAAGGACACAAATTAATAATACCCCAGAATGATGATTTTTAAATCTATTTATTCAAAAATTCATGAGATACTTCCTAACAAAGGAATAAAATATCAAACAATAGTTTTTATCTCTGGCAAGTTCTTTTAACATAGCCACTAGGCTCAATATCATACCCATTATTAAGGTATATTTCACACTTAATTTACTGATACATTCCTTTCAGTTTTGTGATTCAATACTGTTTAAAGTAATGCTAATAATACTTTCTAGCATGTCAAAGTTTATGGTTGTTGTGACTGAGTATTTTTAAATATCCTGAACTGATACAAATTTTTTACAGAAGAAACTCAATGTATAAAGCAAGTAAATAAGGAAGAGCTCCGTTTGATAGACAGAAAATTATTGCAGCTTGCCAGACCTTTTTTAAACACAACATGATTTTTTAACAAAACTATGGCAATGAGCAAAAACTTACCCACCATACATAAAAATAATTGATAGAATTGTTCAATCTTTGGTTAATCACACTGACAGGGACACAAAACTGTTGTATTGTGCAATGTTTCTCTTAAGAATATCAGAACATGGTCCTAAGACCCTTTCAAATCGAGCTCTATCCAGCTTGACACATTTTAATGGACCTCGGGCCACGACTGTTGCTGCACGAGGTCTGTCCAAGAGCAGGGCAATCTCACCTGAAACAAATAATTTTGAAATGTTACCGTCTGGGAAATGTTGATCATGGCCTTCATGGAAAATTTCATTTCAAATTCCTTTTAATGCTTCCATGTGGATCTCCAACCACTTTTTCAAAACACTAAATTAGGGGATGAAACCAAGTAATCAATTTTTTCAGGAGGAGGGGTATTTCATTTACTGCAAGAAATGACCCACTTCTAAAAATTTGAAAACTGGATGTAAAACTTACCAAAGTAATCAGAAACCCCAAGGCGCCCCACCTCCACGGGTTCATCGTTTTCTGACCGCCTCTGTAATACTGCAGCAGTGCCCTGAAAACAATGAGCTATATATACAGTACATGATTGTGTTGAAGACATATCATCATAATTTCAGCAGTTTACATACATCTTGATAAAACAAATTTATTGCTAAACTGTAAACTGAAAAAAAAAAAATTGGTTAGTGTGGGTTGAAGAAGTGATGAGTTGTTTTACATATGTACATGAAGAAGTGCTGAGTTTTCTATATATGTACATAAAATTTTTACATACATGGAGAACATAAATTTACCAGTCTACTCATACCACAAAAATCAAACTCCCAAGAAAATTAGCAGTTTCACAGCAAATACACTGTATATGACTCCGACTGTAGTGAAGGCACCTTAGCCATCACCAAATGATTACTACAGCATAGCGCTGTTATTTCTGCCCCCTTATTTGACCCTTTCATGCTTGCAATGATTTCACCCCGTTTAAATTCCCTCTTACAGAGTAATGTTGAAAGAAAACTAACATTTTTATTATACATGTAATTCAAACCATTTTAAATTCACCTACAGATAACAAGGGCATATGGTTATAAATAAAATGGCAAATTTTCCCTGTTGATTTTCTGTACACATTGTCTATTATCCTGACCTCTGTGATAATAAAGAAATCGTCTCCTGGTTCCCCCTGCCTGACAATCTCCTCCCCGTCCTCAAACTGTACCGGCTCTAAAGAGTCTGCTACCGTCAATCTCTCCCACTTGTCTAAATTGTCTGTAAAACACAAGACAGATTTAGGATTATCAGACCACTACTGAACAGCACCTCTCTGGAGCTTGGTCTATGTAGACTCAAATTTATATGTAACATTTGAGACAGGGTCATTGTACAGAGCAGGATCACTGAAACTATACTGAGATAGAGTACTAAACCACTAAATCAAAGTTGTATGAACATGATATGAATAAAATTGATTTAATATTACATGGTGCTTGTATGATAATACATGTACGACTAATTGTGGCTTTCTTTTTTGTGTAAAGATTTTTTTATTTTTTTTTCCCCCATTGAATTAATATGTATAAAACTTATACTCTCAATTGTGGCCAAAATCAATCATAGGGGTTATGATCTAACATTGTGAATTTGTGATCCTATTATTTTTGACAAAGAGGTTTCTTAAGATTTTTCCTATAATTTCCCAAGGGAATGTAGGGCTGAATTTCAGGGTAAGATGGGGTCTATTTTCCTTGCATTTTTCATATTCATCATTCACTTTGTCCAGTGGTTTGCATGATGTAAATAAAGACTAGAGGATAAGCCACACTTCCTCAACATTTAAGTACAGACAAGCTGACAAGTTTAAGATATATTATAATGGACATCAATTGATGCCTCACCTTAAAGTACATGTAATACATCTTTCTGATTAATGAGGTTTGTTTTTTTCTACACTTTCATAACTGCAGATTGTTGAAGTCTTTGTAATATGTATAGATATTATATTTCAGCAGAATACAAAATGTATGTAAAACCATTTGACTTTACCAGACAAGATACATAAAACCTTTTTCTTACTGGAACTATAAAAAATATTTACCTAAAATCGAAACTTTTCCTAAAAATTCTTCATACATTTTCCTCTTCCTAATTGTGCTACCCTGAAAAATAAGAAATATTGCTGATAAAGAAAGAAACAAAAGTTTATAACTTATGAAAAACACTGATGTAACTAAGAAATGAAACTTTTCTGATCAAACTAAGATACTCACCATTAAAATTCTTCTATAGCTGTCCCTATCAATGCCCCATAGCTTCACGTCTCCCTTAGCCTAAGATTTATAAAAAAAAACATGACATTATTTCAATGGCAATTTCTTTTTAAGTTGATAGACCTAACTTAAATTTGCAGGGGGGGGGGGGGGGGGGGGCTAAGAGAAAACAAACATTTTTATTAAGGCCTTTTGTCAATAGAATTTCCATGAGTAGTACTCACCTTGACTGTAGCTGCTCTAGGTGTTCCATAAATAAGAGCCAGCTCTCCGAAACTGCCTCCCTCCCCAATGGTTGTCACATGTTCATCATTCACAAAAACCTGGAAGCAAAATATTCTTACAGGTAGTGTTAAAAACTTCATTATTGCCCTTGTGTCATTTAGCACCATAAACCTCTGTTCTTATAAGACATAATTAACTAAAATACAAATTTATTTGTGAGCACAGAATATATGAGAGATCAACAACATTTTAACAATCATTTTTGTTAGTAATCCTGTTCCTTTGTACATGTATGATGAAAAATTAATCTCTGTGAACTGGTTGACTCTGAAACCCTATACTAGATAAATTGAGGTATATATAACTTCTCAAATATTTATGACTACCAGTACTACAGTCTGAAATTGTAAGATTAATCTCACTGGCTTTCCAATTTGAAATATTTTGGACTCCCTCCACAAATTCTTTTAAGACATTTCAATTTCTGAAATTATCTGTTAGCCTGCCTGCATTGATGCCTGTGGAGTAATTTATTTATTGACACAATTGTAGGATGGGGGATTTTTTAAAAACAGGAATGAGAATTGTCATAGTCTGTCAGCAGTTGACATAGCCTGATATAAATCAGGCTCCCAGAGGAAGCTGAACCATTCCTTTTGACAAATGCTAACCTATTCCTAGCAGAAGACAAAGCTCTCAATCATTGAAACACAGTGTGAGCTACCAATTTTCTTAAGACTTGGCCAATTTTTCATGTAAATATGAAAATGTTAACGATCATGCAGGCGTAGGAAATAATACCAGAAAGCAGTAAGGATTGTCAATGTCTACACAGAATAGAGTGCAATGACAAAAGGACTTCCTTATTTCACGTGATTTATAACTAGAAATATGTCCATAGTACATGAATGCCCCATCTAAGGTATATTAGTAATGCAACACAAAAATTTGTATTAGTGTATGAAGTTTAATGAGAATATCTTGAATAGTTTCTTTGAAATTGTAATCTAAAAAATTGGATATAAATGATAAATTCTCACCAAATTATGTATAAGTGCATAAGCTTACATAAAAATATCTTAAATGGTTACTTTCAAACTAAGCAAAATGCAAATTTAAGAAAAGTGAGGTCAAAGTCACAGGAAAGTTCAAGGTCAAAAATTTTTAATGCAGTTGAAGAGCTCTCACTAATATATATCAGCATATAAGTTTGATAAAAATATCTTGAATGGTTTATTCAAAACTGAGCTAAGCACTAACTTAGAAAAAATGAGTTCAAGGTCAAAAGAAAGGTTAAGGCCAAAAATTGTTGATGCAGTTGAAAAGCTTACATCAGTATGTATTAGCATATGAAGTTTGATAAAAATATTATGAATGTTTTTTTTTTTAACTGAGCTTAATACAAATTTATGAAAAGTAAGGTCAAGGTCAAAGGAAATGTCAAAGTCAAAAATGTTGATGCAGTTGAATAGCTTACTTCAGTATGTATCAGCATATGAAGTTTGATTACACTACCTTGAATGGTTTCTTTAAAACTGAGCTAAACACTTATTTAAGAAATGTGAGGTCAAGGTCAAAGGAAAGGCCAAGGTAAAAAAATGTTGATGAAGTTGAATAGCTCTTATCAATATGTACCAGCATGTCAAGTTTGATAAAAATATTTTGAATAGTTTCTTTGAAACTGAGCTTTGAACTGAGCTAAACACAAGGTGTGATGGAAGGACAGAAGGATGGAAGGTCGGAAGACGAACATGACAAACTCTATATGCCCCGGCCATATTCATGGCGGGGCATAATAAATCACAGGATCTAAATAAATTCCAGTCATTTTGTTGAGTTGTATGGTTTATTGTTCTACTACTTACATCAACTTCTCCCTGGTCTATCACATAGAAATTATCTCCTTCATCACCTACAAAGTAACACAATCGATCAGATACACAGCATTCAATTATTCAATAAGTACATGCAACATTGTGTAATAAAACAAACAGGTGCCCCACTTCTTTTTCCTACAATGTTTAGTGTTATTAATCCTGTTGTTGACACTGAATTACAGAGAAAGATCATCAATTTGATTATGTAATGGAATTTTACACTTATGTTGCAATCTTGGAGCAAAAATAGCACATCTTGAAGTGAAGTGACAACCTTCAGAGATGACAAAGAGACTATAATTACCATACATGGTCTCCTTAGAAACTTAACTGGGGAAAAATTTAAGTTTCAGAAAAACAGTTTATATATAAGATTTGCATCCTTTCCTACCAAAGCTTTTGGGTGCTTTTTAAAAATAGAAAGCCCTGCCCCAAAGTTGTTTCTAATCAGGTTGTAACTTGTCAAGCTTTTTGGCCCTTAAGTGATAGTAAACCACATTCTCTTCATGCAGTAACACCAATAATATTCCCAAAAGAAAAGCAAAGAGAAAACACTGAAGCAAGCCAATGCACAGCTAAGGATACCAAAATATACTAGAACAGCTGTATAAGGAGATTGTTCTGCTAACACACAAACAATTTGTCACTTGCTGAGAACAGCAGCAATAAACAGACTGTACTCTCCAAAACAGTCCAAAAAACAGATGCAAGATAACACACAGGTCACTTGTTCAAGACAGCATTATAGACAAGGTATTCTTCCAAAACACCAAAGTTAATCAATGGGCCACTTAATGTTCATCCTAACATCTTTTAATGTTAAGTACCATTGCAAAGTTCTTCATTCAAAACAAAAAGAATATTATTTAATGTGTATATCAGTGACCATATCTAAAAAGCACTTGTTTTGATATATATACAAACAATAACTAGAATTGTAATAAAAAGACATAGCATATACACAACTAATAAGTAATTATCAATATTTCTGTGTGACAAAATCTTAAGCACACTTCAATCCTTCTTGTGGTATTATTTCTACCATACAGTATTACTCTGTGGATTTAATGTGGGTATTAAACTGTGAGTTAATAACAATTCTGGTTCACGGTGAAAAGAAATAGTCAAAGTGAAAAAAGGACAAATTTAGGATAATAGCAGCAGTTTCAGTCCCTACAAATACTAATGCATGAATTAACAAACAGAAAAAAATAATGTCTGTAATTAAATGTTCTATCTGAAATGACTTTACTGCTAGCAAGCATTCATTTCTTTGCTGTTTATAGGAACATTTATTCAGAAACTTGAACTAGAAATCTGTAATTGTAGCAAAACTAATTGTATTTACAGACTAAAACTCAATAATTCATGACTAATTGCAAACACTGACTGTACCACATATAGAAATTGACCAAAGGCCTGTGGGCTACAATGCTAATCAGCTGATTCATCTTGCATTACACAAGAAAAGTCTTTAATTCGAACCTCTGACAAAGATTTAATTCATTGCAACTTGAATCACACAAAGAAAGAATGCTTTCATCTCAAATTAATGAACTGATAAAATATTCTTAATTGAAAAATTCTGAACACATATTGTGGCTCCATTTTGTATCAGGGGATAAAATTGCATGACTTAAAACTATATGGGAATATTTCTGAAGATATCTTTTGTAAAAAGAAAATTCCAATTCATAAACAAATGTCAAACTTTCTGTCATATGTTCTTTTACAGATTGACTCAGTCCTCTTTACTCCCATGTAGCCCCCCCCCCTTTTCTAGTGAGCAAAGTGGGATCTAGACTACCAGGGTAAATGAATGAGAATCTGAATTAACATAGTGTGGGAAAACTTTCACATAATTTTGCCTATCTGTGGACCAGTTATTAAAGAAGATAAAAGTCCAATCCATATTTTGCAAAAAGTAAACCAAGTCTGTGTCCCTTTGCAGGGTTCAATAAAAGGACAAAAAGGGAAAGATACAATGTCTCTCTTCTTTATGCGACTAAACATCTGGGTGTGCTGCAATAAATCTGCTGTCTAATTATTTTTCTTTCAATATATGGGCAATCAAAATACAAGATGTAAGTAATTTTCCCCCACAAAATGCAAAGTTACAAACCACAAAACAACAAAGGTTACTTTGAGAGTTCTATGGGTTTTCCCCAACATTGACAGCCAAGGGACAAAACTTTTGGGAAAAAAGTGTGGATTTAACTTTTTTAAAGCAACTTACACATAATTTTACTTTTTCTTAATTATATCCCTTTGAAAGAGAGTGTTGTGCTCCAAATAAAGAGCTTGGGTGTCTTAATTGAGGACTTTTTGTACAACGTTTGCTTTAATTTTGTACAAAGGTAGATGACAGGCATACAAATAAACGCAGATACACCAGAAAAATTCTGAAAAGAAAGTTTGACTTCGCCATCAAATTAAGTGTACTAAAATATGTATTAGGTCACCACAGACATTAGGGACAAACAGTGCTGGATCAAACAGGATACCCTATACACATGCCTTTAATGCATATACTGCAATCATTTATCCAGCAATAGGTAGGCCTGACTCGCAAACATTTCTCCTCTCCTGTCAAAAAATAAACCAATCAATCTTCCTGGTTTTCTTTACTGCTGACCAGTAGGTTACTAACCAATGAAATATCAGAGTTACTTCTGATTGGTTTCAACAGGAAGTGTGCAGTGGAATTAGTTCACTTGATTGTTATGTCAGTAAGTGCCTGTGTTACTGGCAACCATTCAGGTCCTGATTGTAAAAGCTCTTCTGCTGAGACACATATTGGCAACAACATTATTTACTGATTCCCATTGTGATGGAATTATCCTTAGTGCACAGAGACAATTGTTATACACACACACAAGAAGTATTGGGGATATAAAATATCTACCATCATCATATAGAGTTCCTGGAATATGGTACGGAGGTCATGTGATATATTGTGATGAAACAATAAAACAAAAATGTCATGTGACAAACAAAGTTAAGACACACATAAGCAATACGACTCTTGCTCCAAAAAACAAAAACAAACGAACAAAACAAAACACAAAAATAAAAAATCTAGCAGATGTTCATAATAGAAATATTGATATTTTTGGAGTGGTCAAAGTGCATATGAAATGAAATTGGTACTCTGAAAAAAACTTTTACCATCTTAGAACTATGCAAATACACTTAAATTTTAATTTATGCACATTTTAAATTAGCATATCATTAATCTATACCAAACATACAGATTTTAAGAATTTTATGAAATTTTGTTGCTGATAATGAATGAAAAGAAGAAAAAGAAAAAAAAAAACAGGAGTAGCCTACCTTGTTGGATGATGATCTCCCCTGCATGACGATGGACAGGAAACATGGCATCAAAAATATCACTGTAAGAAGTCAAACATTCAAGTCAATTAAAATCCAAAATTAAAAAGATTCAATGATCTACGGCTTAATGAGCTTATTATATACTGAAAGCTTAATTCAAAAATTGCTGTCAATTTTTTCCCTCTTTTAAAGTTTAGATTAAAATTGTTATCAAAAACTAAAATAGTTCTAATACTTCAGGTCTGTTCTGCCAAATAACAACACAGCATAATTAGATATAACAATATCGCATAATTTGATGATAATTATTTTTGAAAAAAGCAGGATTGAAAATTCCCCGCCATTTTATCAAATTATTGACTCTCACCTTCTTTCATTATCATCTAAATGTGAGAACAGAACGTTTTTGGAGATTGCTTTTGAGAGAGCTGCCATTGTCTTGTAATCTTTTGGCACAACCTGTAATAATAATTTAAATATCCAATTACAAGGGCCGTTCAAAAAGTATGGGGACTTGTTGGAAGAAAAAATATTTGACAACATAATCAAGAAAAAAGTCACACATAATATAAAAGAATCTTTACATATATGGCCATCAAAATATTTCATATGAAAATGTTGTAAATTGATATCAATTTTGGTTGATTTAAGGTATTCAATGTATAACGACCATATTTTGTACCTAACAAGTGAATGGTCCGAAATGATTAATCATGGTAACATTTTGAAGGTGTTATGAAATAAACATACCCCACCAAATGAATTTACAAAATTTTAATTACTGTCCAATTAATTGCACATTAAATTTTACATTGACGTCTATGGGCAGTGCATGTTTTATTAAGATATTGTAAAAAGTAATGTGAATTTCATACAAATCTCTTGGTGAAAATATGCGTAAACTCTCTTTTTATTAAAATATGAAATAAAATGAATCATTTACCACAGATATTTTGACAAAATTAAAAAATTCTTCTTTTTATCAAGGGCAGATAACTCTTCAAAAACTTTTCAGGTGCAAAATGATCAGCTTCTTATTTGTTATCAGTCATTTGAATTTGGCTCATTTCACTTTCATCGTTATCTAGCAATGTATTTTTAACTAGTTTTAGACGATTTGAAATTGTTCAGAATTCCTTCTTTATACATTGAATACCTTAACAGAACACATAATGAAGTCATGGCGCAGTAAATCTTTGACATTATGGTCATTATATAAAAAAAATCTGAACATTTTAGTGTTTCATACTGTACAGTTTGGATTACATCATCCACTCATCATTAACATCCATATACCATTCCTGGTTCAGTTTGAAAACTATTAAACTAGTATAGTATGTTCTATTTTTTAAAACCCCCGGAACTGCAGATATTTCTGAAATGATTCTCTCTCAATCACATTCTTAACAGTTCAGATCAAGTGTCATCGAAGAAGGTCTAACAACCTAAAATTCTCATTTGCTATTTGTAGACAGATGTCAGGAATACCACTGGTTTACTACATGTTTCATCTGCAAGCATATTTTGGGTCTATGTTGGATTTTTCCCCAGCATTACACATAATTTGAAAAAAGTGCTCCGTCAAATCACAAGACATCATTTTTGTAGCTGTTTTCATAAGGATCACGTCAAAGAAAAATCAAAATATTTCTGTTAGTACTTCAAATATTACGACAGAAATCTAAATATATATAGATTAGTAAAATTTTGGATTCTGCATGTTTGTTTTTCAAAATGTTTGCCGTGCTCTGTACATCACCATCAGCAATATCAAAGCAGCAATAATTTTTGGAGAAATTAAAATACAAAAATTTTACCCAAAAATTACTAGAATCTTTCAGAAATATGAATCTGTGAAATTTCATTGTTATTTGACATCTGTAAGAGTAAATAATTAGCTGAGTCCACATAATTTTTGAACAGCCCTTATACATTTCAAACAAACCTATTCTGCAACTTGACCCAATTTTCATATAAAAAGTATCCTTTTTATATCCTTACCTCAGGCAAAGTAAGATTTTCAAGTTCTTCCTCAGAAAATTTTAACAAATTAGTTTGCAATACAAAGCTCATGTTGGCCATTCTTGTCGGCAGTGTTCTTGTCTCTAAACTTTCAACTGTGTCCAATAATGAATCTTAGATCCTTGCTACTTTATAGTAATAAACAAATAAAAAAAAAAGCTCCTCCCATCTGTCCTACTTAAAAAGTCTAACACCCTCCTTGGATCTTGCATAATTACAAGAAAACGAAATCATAGCATTGGGCAAAAATCAATGTATTCCATAATGGAATATAATTTGATCCTTTCTTTGCCTTTTGAACTACATTATTCCTCATTTCCTTTGGCCTTTCATTAAAATAATTATAACTCAGAATCCTGAGCACCAGAGAGAAAACTGATAACACATAGTACAGCTAGAATTTCAGAGCTTCGTCAAAGAAGTTCTAAAATGGGCAATAAAGATGCTTTTGGCCTACTATTATAGTGTAAAACATTTTCTCACTGCTTCCATGCCATCTTAAAATACATGTATACTCGTTTTAATCCCAGGATTCAAATTAATAAAATCATTTCTCAATTTATAATATGCTTTTAACGCCTTTTTATAAAACTCTGATCTTGCTACACGAAAACTTCCAGATGCAATTAGGTGAACTCCAAGATATTTGTACCTAGATACACAGTCTATCCTATTATTTTGAAACATTAGTTTTTGCGTAAAATTACGACCAGCTTTATTAAAGATCATGACTTTAGTTTTTTAAATGTTTACCTTTAAACACCAATCAGAGCAATACTTTTCAAGTTTAGAAAGTCTTGCTTGTATACCTTTAGCTGATAAAAAATAACAATGTCATCTGCATACATTAAACAGTTCACAGTTTTTGTCTGAAGTGATACTTCATCAATACATGAATCTAAATATGATGGAAAATCATTTATAAATATTTTAAATAAAGAAGGGCTCAAGTTGAATTTGAATAACTGTGAACTTTCTAACTGTAAATTCTAATTGCATGTATGTTTCTTCTTCTGCAATTTGGGTATCACAAAAATAAGTATATATATCCCCTTACAATGATTTAATTTTAGCCACAAATTTCAAACATATATTTGAAATGGTGTTCACAAGCAAAGCTAGTCCAGGATCAAATCTATTTTTTGTAATTTCCATCGCTGAGAAATATTATCAATGCCTATTATTCTCTTGACCTAGACAAAAGTCTTATTTCTCTGACCAGCTAGAACCCTGTATCAGACTTGATACAGCAATTACAAAATAGTACCCAAATTAGCCTCATACTTTTGCGTCATTTGCTTCTTCCCTGACCTTTTGACCCTTAAATTAATATGCAACCTCTTCTGGCCAACCAAGCATCTCTGCTGCAAGTACTGTAAAATCTTTGTGGGGTCAAATTTTCATATTTTGAGGAAAAAATATTGATTTGTGGTGATTTGATTTGGATGAAACTGTGTTGAGTTGTTTTCCTCCTCATATACAATTTGCCATACAATTCTAGACATCTTAATTTGTAGCTTTATTTCGTAAGATTTGCCTTAATCTGAAAGCTACCTTACTTGAAAGTGGTCCTGCAGTTTGACTTCCTTAAATTTAGAAATTAACTTTTATGACTTTAAATTTGTATATAATAGATGCTTTTCAGACTGCTATGAAATAATATGAATAGATATGACTTTTGATATGCTCTAAACTACTTCATCATGCTTCATATTCCCTGATTTTCTAATTTCTTTGAGATGCCATTTAACACACCCCTTGCAAGAGCTACCTTTTTGACAACCAGTTGCTAGTACTACCTATTTAACAACATTGTGCTATAGGCCTAAAGCTACTTTTTAATAGACAACCCCTTACTATAGCCACCTTTTTGACAACTCCATGCTAAAGCTACTTTTTGACAACCACTTGATATAGCTACATTTTGACTACCCTTTGCTAGTGCTACCTTTTTGACACCCCCTTGCTAGTGCTACTTTTTTGACAACCACTTCTATAGTTACCTTTTTGATAAACATTTGCTATAGCTATATTTTTGACAATCCCTTGCTATAACTAACTTTTTGACAACCTCTTTCTATAGCTACGTTTTTGATAACCACTTGCTTAGCATCCTTTTTGATAACCCTTTGCTAAAACTTACTTTTTGACAACCGGTTACTATATATCTACCTTTTTGACAACCTCTTGCTATAGCTACTTTTTGACAACCCTTTGCTATAACTTACTTTTTGACAACTGCTTACTATATAACTACCTATTTGACAAGCCCTTGCTACAGCTACCTTTTTGACAAGCCCTTGCTATAGCTATCTTTTTGACAAGCCCTTGCTATAACAACCTTTTTGACAAGACTTGCTTTAACTACCTTTTTGACAAGCCCTTGCTATAACTACCTTTTTGACAAGCCCTTGCTGTAACTACCTTTTTGACAAGCCCTTGTTATAACTACCTTTTTGACAAGCCATTGCTATAACTACCTTTTAAACAAGCCTTTTCTATAGCTACCTTTTAAACAAGCCCTTGCTATAGTTACCTTTTAAACAAGCCTTTGTTATAACTGCCTTTTTGACAAGCCTTTGCTATAACTACCTTTTTGGCAAGCCCTTGTTATAGCTACCTTTTTGACAAGACTTGCTTTAACTACCTTTTTGACAAGCCCTGCTTTAACTACCTTTTTGACAAGACATTGCTATAACTACCTTTTTGACAAGCCTTTTCTATAGCTACCTTTTAAACAAGCCCTTGCTATAACTACCTTTTAAACAAGCCTTTTCTATAGCTACCTTTTAAACAAGCCCTTGCTATAGCTACCTTTTAAACAAGCCTTTGTTATAACTGCCTTTTTGATAAGCCTTGCTATAACTACCTTTTCGACAAGCCCTTGCTATAACTACCTTTTTGACAAGCCCTTGCTATAGCTACCTTTTTGACAAGCCCTTGTTATAACTTCCTTTTTGACAAGCCCTTGTTATAGCTACCTTTTTGACAAGCCCTTGTTATAACTTCCTTTTTGACAAGCCCTTGCTATAACTACCTTTTTGACAAGCCCTTGCTATAGTTACCTTTTAAACAAGCCTTTGTTATAACTTCCTTTTTGACAAGCCTTTGCTTTAACTATCTTTTTGACAAGCCCTTGCTATAGCTACCTTTTTGACATACTGTGCTGCATCTTCTTCCTTGTAGACTTCTGCACTGACAGCCCCTCTTCTGTTCCTGACAATGTTCTTAAGAGGGAACGGAGTACTGGCAATCTCATCAGCGACATCATCACTGGGAGGGGTGGCTGATTTACTCTTTGTCTTCTGTTCCTGAAAGTGATACAAAAGTAGTTAATGGACTCTGAGAATGTTATAATTTGTTGAATGTTAATGCACTCTGGTTGTTAAATCTTTTATCACCAATGAAGCTAACAACAAACCATTTAATCACTATCTACTCATGTCTTCAAATTTCTGATACACATCACAGTATATACAAACAATTGTATATCTGAAATACTTGACATGTACCTTCGTCAATGCTAGAATCAAAACAGTTTTAAATGCCCAACAGTCCAAAACTTTTTTAAATACCCAACAAAAACTTGTGACATAATTCTGAGTTAAACTCCAATAGTGTGAATATGGGTTTTAGGTAATAAATCATCTTATGCCATAATTCCTGCTTTTTTTCTTCAAGGTTTCTGAAATTCAACTTCAGTATTGAAAGCTGGGAAATATCAAAACTTGTTTATCTTTCTGTTAAAAAAATTTTTCTTTTTATGATCAGCATCATAACAAATGCTTGAAATAAATTTATCTATTCCTAATTTCTGCTTACCTTTGAACTGTTCATTATCAATAGCCCTAATGTCACAAAATCTGAAGATGTTCAAAACACTTTCTTACAACATCACACAAAACCTGTTGTATAATTCACTGATGTTCCCTATAAATGTCAGTCGTGATTATCGATGGTCCAAGATGGTTCTTGCAGGCCAAGGAATCTTACACATTCAAACATAAAACTTTAAAACCTCCAGTTAGACCTTCACCCTATATCTGTATTGATCATACTTATCCTAAAGAAAAATACATCCAAGCACCAGAGATTTTATTTCCTAAGCTTCAAATAATGTCCTATTTTCTTATTCATAGCTCCCAACCAATTCTTCCCCCGAAACAGTTCAAGAAGTATCTCATCTTTTTCTTTACTTTCTTTTCCTAGCCAATCAATTCACAAATAGGTTATTTCTTATTCATATTTTCAGATTCTCAGCAAACAACACAATAATGCAATGGTCTTTCACCATTTTCTCCTGTAATGTTGATATTGGCAAGCTGACCAACTAGCTTCGGCCAATCTAATTTGTTCCCAGTGTTCAACGACTCCAGTTCATTAACTCTGCCTTGATTACTTTCTCTCTAAATTCTTTTTTGTATCCGATCCCTGATTCCTGAATATTTTCTCAGATTCTGAGTAGAAGCAACTCTAAATCAAAGAATTTTCTGATCTAATAAATCAAGTTGTGGGGTTATACAGAAAAGTAATAATGCCTAGATGGAAAAGGGGGGGGGGGGTTCTTCCCAGAAAAAAATTGTGATAACTCAGCTGGATGATTATTTAGTCTTACAAAGAAGCTTTTTTTCCCCCCCAAAATTAACAATGCATTCAATCTGAAAATACTTAAATTCTGTAAATCTGAAATCAATTTATGCTTGATGAAATTAAAATTTCAGAACACGAATCTACATATAAAAGTAATTAAAACTACAAAAATGTAACATTTTGAATTCACCTTCATGTTTCTATACTTCAAAAATTGAGAAATGGGGGACTGACTTTTATCCTAGATCTCGATAAACATTCTAATGAACCGATATCACCTCAAGATAAAAATAGTATCAGGATAATTTGTTTGCCACTAAACTTTATCACGTAGTATGATCTGTGAATAAACCTGGAGTGTTCTCAATTCATTGTACTGACTGGGCAGTCCATGCTGGGTAAACATACTTCCTAGTATGTCTTTACAAAACAATGTTCATTTACATATATTTCTAATGGAAAAATCTAATGCCTAGATTGCAAATCCAAATGATTTTGAAGACAATAGGGTAATATTCCAGCTGTAAAACATCAATACATTTAATGCTCATCATGAATTAACCTATAAGACATATATATTGTTTAATCTAATACTGGTGACACTATCAGAAAAATCTGGTATTCAACAGGCTTCAGTTGGAACAGAATACATAAACATATCCTTCAAAAGGAAGCCTTAGATCTGTCCTGGCTGAGATTCACTTGAGAGACAAGAGGGATTGATCCACTGTTACTGGCTTGAGAGGCACACTGTATTGGTGATTAAATAGAGTTTATAGATTTCTCAAATAATTCACACCTCATATAATAAAACCAATCAGATCTAATGTTCTGTCCCATACTATAGTATTTGAATTACTATCACTTGTGAAGGGGAATTTAGCTTTTCCCACTTCCAAAAATTAAAATATCATCAAACAGTTCTGATCTTTCACAAAAATGTACACTTATTTCTCCATTAAAATGCACACCAATGTACTAAATCTAGTCTATATTAAAGGACTGGAATACACTTTATACTAAAGTAATATGATTTCTACTGGTAAGACTTCACAATCAAAAAAAAACCTAGGTGGCTGTGTATAATTTAAATTTTGGCACTTAAATGCTGAGATATCCCACAAATTTGATAAATTTATACTACTCAAAGACAAAACAGAAAGACACTGAATCTTACATAACAAAACAATAAAGGGGAAAAAACATCTCTCATTGGTAATTCATTTAGTCAGGGGTAATCCAAGAGAACTCTGGGAGAGAAAATGGGACTAAGAGGAATTAAATGGAATATCGACAGTTGTAGCCAAGTTTATGTCATTCTCCCTCCTCGCCTCGTTACTGAAGGAAAAACATCATCTTCCCGTCTTAATCAATAGTCAAACTGCAGTTCCCCTCCAGATATACTAATCAAATACCATAAGTAGATCTGGACAATTCAGTTCCCCACATTCTGTTACAGAAGTCCTTATGTATATATTAGCTGATCCTGTTTGGTCCTCTGTAATTCAGATTTACAAAAGCAACAGTTATTGTCTGTAGGCCTAGTCCTTCAACAAACAATTACTAACACTGTCTGAGCTGTAATTGCCACAATGCTTCAGCTTCTTGTAATTGTATCGTGAATGCTTTTGAGATCTTGATTGTATCAAGTGACCTATGGTCCACAATGCTTACCTCTGAATACATTATTTTTTTTTGCCTAAAGAATGTAAAAATTAAACAACTATTTATAGCCCATATCATTACACACATTTTAATGACTCAAGCTTCATACTGATCAAGATCAAATACACAAGTTTATCATTACTTGTTCTTCTGGGGATGTTACACCATTCCTGGTGGATTTGCTGCAAATTTAGACCTTTACTTGGAACTCATGGCGGCCCACTGAGCTGAGATGGATCTTTTTCATGGTACCTACTGCAACTCAGGAGCTTGCTTTACTCTGTCACATCTGAAAGACCAGCACCATGCCCCACAGTGGGATTATAACTCACAACCTAAGGATCAACCCCTTACTCCATGACTCCAGAGTGAGACACTCTAACCTTCATGCTATGCAGGTGACAAGCCCCTTTAGATCCCTCAATTACAAATTTTACTTTACTAAAATTAATATTTCAGTGAAATCAGTCCTTGGTGTAACACCCCCCCCCCTCCCCTGATAAATGGGTGTTGGATTTTAATACAATAAATAGTAAGCATTTCCTACTTTTGATCTATTTTTTGTGTACTTTACATGTAACTTCATGGTACTTCTTAATTATGCACTTTTCTTGATAGTGCATAAAGTCGTATATTGGAGCAATCTTGAAACCCCTTTACCTAAGGATGCTTTGTGGCATGTTTGATTGAACTGGCACAGTTCTTCTTTAGGAGAATAAGATTTGTTGAGTCAAGAGAATTTAGAGAAAGAAGGAGAACCCCCTCACTTTCTAAGCGGTAAAAATAATTTCTAATTTTAGTTAGATTGCTCACTTTCACTTGGGCCTTAGTGTCAGATGAGCTAAAAGTCTCTACTTAAACAGTGCATCCCTGGTATATAGGTATGAAAAATCAAAACAAATCAAAATCACTAGTAGACCTATTTACTTTTTCTTAGAAATGATAGAAGAAATCTAAGGAGAATTTGACCAAAATGTATGAATCAACCAAATTTTGATATATTAAGAGAAATTTTCAGAGGAAAAACATTGATCTCCATTATGCCACAATGGTGAGAAAGTTGAAACAAGTCCAATTTCTAACTTTGCTGATTTATCTAGAACTGAGTTATGTTCAATATTTGTTAGCCTGCTTACTCCCACATGGCATGCAAATCATTGAATTATGCAGTTTTGTGGGTAAGCATTAGAACTGCTGAGAGTGAATGAGAACTTACTTGATGGGATCTATGTTACTGTGAAACTGCTCTACAGTGATATAACAGCTTAATTGTAGGGTATCAGTTGTCCTTTAAAAATGAAAACCTAAGACTCTTAAGTAAAACTTTCTCCATTAGAACTGGAAGAATAAAATACTTACATAGTGATACATGTACAACAAAATACTGTAAATGTATTTATTTAACATATACAATATTTGGCACAAATAATTACTGATATTTTAACAAGTTAGCATACATTTGATTGAATGCATAGCTGAATGTGCTACTTATATAAAGATATATAGACATTTAGCTTAGTACTTGATTTAGCAGGTGCTGCTTTCCACAAAAATCTTTAAGAGTACACTAGCCAAATATTATATTTTTACTGTGAGTAAGCTTGAAAACTTGCCTGTTTTCAGGATGACAATCTCACATTAACATATCTTAATAAAAAATCTTCCTCAGCTGCTTTTGATTACTTTAAGTCATTTTAATTCCACGGTGTTAAAATTTCATGATTTCTCGAAAAGTACCAATCACGATGGTTTTAATTTCACACTGCAAGAAATTAATTAAAATTTCGTATACGCATTTAAACGTTTTTAAAAACTAATGTAGCATTCACGCTAGGTTTAATTTCGTGGAAAAATGATGAATCACAAACATAGTGAAATTAAAACCATTGTGATTATTTGCCAATCTACAGTACTTTAACACAACAGAAAAAAATAGGTTTGTGAAACACTGATACCTCCATATGTTAGCTCATGGCCAAGGTCAAAGTTTTTCAAAAGTAGGTCAATCTCAAAGGTCTAATCATGAAGTCAAAATTGTAGATACCAAAAAAATAAGGTATTGTCACAAGGAATACACATATGAAAAACGAAAGCCCTAGCACCAACCGTTCAGAAGTAATGGCCAAGATTAAAGTTTTTTTTCAAAAGTAGGTCAAACTTCAAGGTCAAATTCAATAGGTTAAATAATTATGTTGATACCTAAAAGGAATACACATGTGAAATATGAAAGGTCAAGGTCAGGAAGTAAAAAATTTTGGTACCCAAAAGAAAGTTCTTGTCATAAGGAATAAATATGTCAAATATGAAAGCCCAAGCTCCAACCATTCAAGTTTTTTGCAGACAAACAGGCAGACAGACAAGTGGACAAACCAACAACAGGCCTATGGGCCAAAATAATCTCCTGAGTAACCTTAGCTTTGTGTTTTTTAAGATTTTATAAAGATTTTTCTCCTTATATTTCTTTGAAAAATTGGGACCCCATTTTATGGCTCCATTTTTAACTTTATGGGGTTTCTGAATCTACAAAACATGGAATGCTTAAATATCAATGTAACTAACATGGTCTTCCATAGTTTTCAGGTCAGGTGAGCTAAAAAATCTCTGATTATGGAAGAATAAAAATATACCTGTCTTTACTTAAACAAAACATGTATGCACCAAAAAGTGCACCAAAAAACCTACTTATCTATAGTGCGAGTACAGGAAGTAATTGCAAACAATAGATTTCTCAAGAATATTCATGAATTGGAAGTATGATCTCTTTATAAAGTGCAAGAAAAGAGTCTCAAACTGATAAGTGTATATATCCTTCTACATCTAATCTTGCAGTTTATTCATCTCATTGAAAGTCAACTGCTTCAAATATTGTCTGTTATACAGTATACTGAGCATACTGTCGATTATGCTTTACTGTACAACTAAAAATAATCTCCAATGTTATGAGGTTATATATATACCCCTCTTTAATTTGTTTCCTTCCCAAAACTTCCACAGAAAGAACTTTGTCGAATGCATGAATGCATTTCCCTTTAGAATGCAAAATTAAGAATAAGTATTACTACTAGTCTTTTCTACCTGTAGGCTGATGCTTCATATTCAATAGTTAACATGTACCACATGATTATGCCTCCTCACCTGTTGCTTTCCTGACAGTGTCAGACACCTGATGACTGTGATTCTGTGTCTATGTGTTAGACACAAGTCTCACTTGTTCCCCTTGTTAGACCTGGTGACTACAATTCTGACTCTGTGAGCTATGGTTACCACCATCTAGTCTCACCTGTTCTTGAGTGTCAGACCTGGTGACTACCATTCTGTCTCTGTGAGCTATGATTACCACCATCTAGACCTGGTAACTCTGATTTTGTGTCTATGTGTCAGAAAATGGTCTCACCTGTCCCTTGCCCAAAGGTTTTGCTTCAGTTTTTCCTTGTGGATGTGATTCTGTGAGTTCAGCCACTGAGCTTTCCTTATTAGTCTTAGACTCAGAATAATCAGACATTTTCTCAGACCCCTTTTCTATCTGTTGATCTGATTCAGTTTTACTAGGTCCTGTATTTTGTATCTCATCTTCCCGTTTTTCTGTGTACGTTCCTTCCTTCCCCGTTACTTCATCCTCCTCTGTACTTCGACCAAGAAGTAATTTCCTAATTTTATTCCCCATGATGTCACTACTTAAAATTTCACAGGAAAGACAAATAGATCAAAATTTCCCAAATTCCAATAAAGTATTTAATAAATTTTTTTTTCTCCGAATCAGTTGGTAATGCACAGAAGAACAAGCTTAGTGATGTGGTACTCCTGTCCCACAATACACAATTACAGCCTCATTGCTGCAGTGTCATGTACACATCAAACTTGCTCCTTGTCAGAATAGAGCAAAAAAAAGAGAAGTAAACAGAAATTCTGGGGAAAGCACAATGTGCAGTATGAAAACTTGTCTGCCAGAAACATCCAATATCACAAGACTGTATCTCTAAGCTGGATTCAACTCTCATCCATGTTAGATAATAATTAATTGTTTCTGTAACATTGTGTTGTTAGTAGCAATTGCTTGGTTCTGTCACTTTGATAATGTGAGTCAATAAGGACACTGAATAAATTCCTGGATCCAATACTATTTCCAAAAATCAATTCCTGTGGCCAAGAACATGAAAAATGCTAATAGTAATGGGAAATGAACCTTCCATCAATTAGCAGGATTTAGTCAATTAATTCCGTTAAAAATGATCCACTATGAAGCTACAACAATGATATCTACCCGACTACTCATTAAAAGTTAATCTATAACTATTTTATCCAATATTCACACTATCAGAATGTAATGTGACCTTGCTGATCACAATAGAGTACAAGAATAATGTTGACCAGTTATAAGATGTCTGTGTTCACTGTTGTTTATATCATCCACAATGCCCAAGGTAACATGTCCTATAATTTTTTTTTAACCCATTCGGCTTTATCTAATTAACATCTAGGTCATTAGTTACAGTATTCAGGTACAGAAAATCTGTGCTCTGATTTTCACCTCCTAGACTAGAAAGCAAATGTCACTGTACATCTAACAAATATCACAGTCTCCATTATCCTTCCAAGGTCATTGCGAGGACCCCAGCTAATAATATGTAGTTTACACAAGTTATAATAACACGATACAAGTAAAAAATTCTCCAGCGCCTGAATTGTTAATAAGACAGTCACGACCTCAAAAGTGGAATATTACCACAGGGTTTCACGGAGTCCAGTTCTCTACTGTGTAAATTGTGATTGAATAGGCCAAGATGAAGAATGTTGTCATATCTGGGGACTCTTTATAGCATGGTGAAGGATCATCAGCAGTCATGCCAGACAGACATAAACTGTTCATCATTTATCATTGCTCTGGCATCAAACAAATGATTTAAAGGACTCAATAACAGGGAACAACATATCATTAGTGCACACAATATAATGCAGCGTAATCCTCTTGTAAAGAAACAAACTACATCAGGCTTTCGGTATTTTTAAGGGCTTGGGGTAAAAAGCTGAGTGGAGTGGAGTGGAGTGGAGTCTTGTGGAGTCATGGAGTGGAGCCTGTATTATAACAGTACAGAAAGTTTGAGAACAAAACAATTTCTTTTGCATACAATCTCTCCCCTGCAATGTCATTTTGGATTTGTGTATCAAGAATGAAACAAGGAACAAAGGAAATCTGTGTGGCCCAAAAAAATATTGACCTTTAAATGTCAAACAGAAATGTTTTTTAAAACAAAGACTAGATAATACATTAACAACATCTAAACTAAGCTCAGATATATGACCCTGCTCGCCTATCCAAAACAGACAAACCTAGTAAGAGGTGTTAACAGCTTTATAATATCAACAGATAAAGAGTAAACAACTGCACTGCGTAACTCATGACAACAATTGAATTATAAAGGCACATAATTTAAATACCATTTTTTTAGGTTTTACTTTTAAAGTACATTCAACCCTCTTTGTTGATATTTGAAGGTCACTATTTTTTTTTCTGTTTCTCATTCCTCTTGATTTGTTTATATTAACGTACACATATACCTTTTTCTGGTTAAACTGGGGGAAATGCTACAGAATCTAGGTGTATAGCTACATGTATTTGTCAGTTGGGTCTATCAAAGTTAAATGTCAAGGATTAATTACTAGTATAAGACATAAGAAGGAAAATGTTTATCGAAATAAACTCAACAGCTCAAGTAGTTATTTTCTATTTTTTGAAGTACAGATTGTGCATTTTAAATGATGATGAATTATTCACTCTTAAATTTTTTACCTTTGTTTCTTGGGGAGGGGGCAGTGTTAATTCCTACCTATAATTAGTTTCATCGATATTTGAACAAGAAAATCTTTTTATTTCGTAAATGTGACTCAGAACAGAAATTATATATATGATAAGTAATGCTAAAATATATTTAAAACATTTTATTACATCCTTACTGTTGAGTTATTGCTTTCTTTGTAATTTGCTGATAAATGTTTTACATGCAGTCTATCAACTATTATAAGCATCACTGATGCAGCTGTTTGTTAGAAACAAAAATGACTTTCTGATAGATTTAATTTAATTGAAGTATGAGAACTTTAAAAGAATGTCGACCCCCATAACGATGTGCTGAAATGTACTTGGTTACTCATTGATATTGTTTTATAAAGACGACTCAAGCAAGATGCTGTCAACTTGATTCAGTTATTAAAATAAGTTACATGGTTTGCTACAACGGACAAAACATGCAAAACTTTCAATGTTTTTTTTTTTAATATCATTACATTAAATTTATTTTATTTTGTTTTTGATGTTGCTGAGGCTGCCAATATTTACCTTAGTGGGTACAATATATATGGTACCTATAAGTTTTATTTTCAAAAAATCCTTGCAACATTTACCAGGGGTATGTTTTACAAAAGAGCTTATTACCCAGACCAAACACTTTAGATGATAATATAATCTTGCAAATCAATGATTCTGTTAAAAATTGCTTGCATAAAAATATCTATCTAAATTAATTTTTAAAAGAATTAAAATCATTTTCAAATCAATGTTAAAAAGAAAGTCAATCTCAAAACTTGGTCATAAGTTCTTTTGTGAAACAGACCCAAGATGTCTTATAAGCATTATTTGCCCTATTTCGAAGAATGTCTAAGAAGTTTTCCTACAAAAATGCCCATGTTTTGAAATATCCAGAGATTTCATTGTCCATTGAAGAATCAGGTCTCAATTACCAGATCGTAAAGATGTGCTGCAAAATAAGTAACTTATATGTCTTATCAGTTATTATCCCCTTGCAGCGGAGTTGGAGGGGATATAGTAACTTGCTTGTGTGTGTTAGTGTGTATGTAAGTTTGTCCTTGTGTAATTTGCTTCGGTATAGATGTCGAATGCTGTCTTGATTTATAGATATGCTCTTTGCGTGGGGATGCTCCGCTTTGCGGTGCCTTTATTAAATGCTTTTTTCCTACATCCCTTGTTTGTTGTTAAAAGTATAACCCAGTGGACATTCCTGAATAATGATGAAATTTTTATTAGGTTACAAGTACGTACATGTATGTGACCCGGTAATGTCGAACTTGAAAAATTATTGTGTATTAAATGTGTGATTATATTTTTTACTGTACAGTAATTCTTATATAGATTCCAAATTGTAAACTATGCCCAGCTGTAAATTTAGATTCTTTTTTTTCTGACAAATGCAAAACCAGTTATATTTAGTTCAGTTAATTTTTAAGCAAATTTGTTTTTACAAGCAACAACTGAGTAAGCATTTCTAATGCAGTAATTAAACCTGTCAAGACTTCTGTTGGGATTGGAGTGGATGTGGGTCACTTAGTCTCTGTTACCCAAAATAAAAAGCTTTTCCCATTGATGAGTTGACATTTGAAGGTCATGATTTTTTTCATTTACTCAGTCATTCATTCACTTCATTGTCAATATGGTTCATACAACATGAACAAGTTTCTGACTAATTGTATCATTTAATCTGAAATCAGGAAGTTTCCAAGCATCTGATCAGTGATCACAGACATCAGCTATAGCTGGGGCATACAGAAATAAGAGAGGAAAGGAGGGGGATTGTGTTCAATGACAAGAATATTTTTTTTTCAATCTCAACTGCCATGACTCTACATCTAAGCTTTTGTAGTGTTTCCTGCAATTTACCGATACCACCTCTGCCCCCATCCCAAAAAGGGAGGTATGTAAATAGTTATACGAAATGAGAAATAACATCATCTAAAGTGTTTGGTCTTAGTCGTAAGTCATAAGTTTTGTAAAACATGCCCCTGGTAAATGTTGTAAGAATTTTTTGAAAATAAAACTTAAGTTAAACAAGGGCACCGCAAAGCGGAGCATCCCCTCGCAAAGAGTATATCTTTAAATCAAGAGAACATTCCACATCGATCCCGATACAAATTACGTCACTTCTGTTTAACACACCACTCAATAACTAACACACTCACAAACGCACACATAAAAGCGTGCTACTATTTCCCCCCCAACTCCTTTGTGAGGGGATAATACTAGTAATAAGGTATATAATGTACCCACTAAGGAAAATATTGGCAGCCTTAGCAACATCAAAAACAAAATTTTAAAAAAATTTAATGTAATGATATAAAAGAAAAACAAGAGGCCCATGGGCCACAGCGCTCACCTGAGTAACTTTGGCCTTGCTGTTTTTCACCTGATTTCTCTCTCCCCCCCCCCCCCTGTAGTACTTATTGTGGCCCCGCCCTATCCCTAGGGGTCATGATTTGAACAATTGGAATCTACACTACCCCAGCATGCTTCCAAGTAAGTTTCAGCTTTTCTGGCCCAGTGGTTCTTGAGAAGAAGATTTTTAAAGATTTTTCCTATATATTTCAATGTAAAACTTGGATTCCCTATTGTGGTCCCACCCTACCCCCGGGGGTCATGATTTGAACAATTTAGAATCTACACTACCCCAGCATGCTTCCACATAAGTTTCAGCTTTTCTGGCCCAGTGGTTCTTGAGAAGAAGATTTTTAAAGATTTTTCCTATATATTTCAATGTAAAACTTGGATTCCCTATTGTGGCCCCGCCCTACCCCCGGGGGTCATGATTTGAACAATTTAGAATCTACACTACCCCAGCATGCTTCCACATAAGTTTCAGCTTTTCTGGCCCAGTGGTTCTTGAGAAGAAGATTTTTTAATGACCCCACCCAATTTTTGTATTTTCTTGATTACCTCCCCTTTGAAGGGGACTTGGCCCTTCATTTTAACAATTTAAACTCCTCTTCACCCAAGGTTGCTTTGTACCAAGTTTGGTTAAAATTGGCCCAGTGGTTCTTGAGAAGAAGTCAAAAATGTGAAAAGTTTACAGACGGACGGACAGACGGACGGACGACGGACAACGGGTGATCAGAAAAGCTCACTTGAGCTTTCAGCTCAGGTGAGCTAAAAATGAGGAACCAAATATATTTCAGCACATCGTTATGGGGATCGACATTCTTTTAAAGTTCCCATACTCCAATTAAATTAATTCTGTCAGAAAGTCTTCACCATTGTTTATAGCAAACTATCAAACAGCTGCATCAGTGATACATAAACTAGTTGACAGACTGCATGAAACATTGATCAGCAAATTACAAAGAAAGCAATAACTCAACAGAAAGGATGTGATACCGGTTATATGTATAAAAATGTTTTAGTATTACTTATCATATATATAATTTCTGTTTTGAATCACATCTATAAAAAAAGCTTTTCTTTGTTCAAATATTGGTGAAATTTATAACACAGCCCCCTCCCCAAGAAACAAACTTTACGTAAAAACTTTAAGAGTAAATAATGCATCAATGTTTAAAATGCACAATCTCTACTTACAAAAAATTTAAAAAAAAAAAAAAAAAAAAAAAAAACGAGCTGCTGAGTATATTTTGATAAATATTTTCCTTTTTATGTCTTATAATTAATCCTGGACATTTAACTATGATAGACTTCTAATTGACAAATACATGTAGGCTATACACCTAGATTCTGTAACATTTTTCCTTATTTAACCAGAAAAAGGGAGATACATGTGTATGTTAAATTAATATAAAACAACTGAATTAGGAGAAAAAATAGTAACCTTCAAATATCAACAAAGAGGGTGGGTTGCACTTTAATAGTAAAACCTAAAAATGTGTACCGTTGTAATTCAATTGTCATCAGTTCCGCAGTGCAGTTGTTACTCTTTGTCTGTTTGATATTATAAAGCTGTCAACACCTCTTAATAGATTTGTCTGTTTTGGATAGGCGAGCAAGGTCATATATCTGAGCTTAGTTTAGATGTTGTTAATGTATTACCTAGTCTTTGCTTTAAAAAAACATTTCTAGGTGATTCTTTGTTTGACATTTAAAGGTCAATATTTTTTTGGCCGCACAGATTTCCTTTGTTCCTTGTTTCATTCTTGTTACACAAATCCAAAATGACACTGCAGGGGAGAGATTGTATGCAAAAGAAATTGTTTTGTTCTCAAACTTTCTGTACTGTTATAATACAGGCTCCACTCCATGACTCCACAAGACTCCACTCCACTCCACTCAGCTTTTTACCCTGAGCCATTTTGGGTATCATTAGAAAATAGTTGCAGCACTTTAATGCCTTTAGTATCATGTAGAATATAAAACATACAGATCAATAAATGCTCTATTGTCAGCTAAAGACTGCAGATTGGGTTTATAGCACTTTTTTGTGATCATCTTCATCAAGGTTTATCCCTTTACCAGATTTCAATGAAAACACCATAGATAGAATACTGTTAGGTAAGATAGCAGTTCTCATGCAGCCCTTTCTTTAATTAATGAGAAAGTCAAAACCAGATAAATTTTACAAATGCAATGTTTGTTTGCAATATTTATCAACCCATACTCGTCCTGTCTGCCTGATTTCACTTGATTTATCATTTATTGTATTTCAATCTATTATTTTTCTAATACAAACAAATTTGAACATTAATTATTGGATCTAATTCCATATTTGTAATCGTTAGTTGTACTACAGCATTTGTAATTATCTGAGCCATTTCTGCAAGCATCTGGATAAATTCTGTTTAAGGGAGTATGGTACTGACAAGTCCTAATTTCAGAGTAATTAAAACTCTAAAACATCCACATAAAATGAAAGAAGTACCTTTATATATTTCATAAAATATTATAAGAAAAGGTTCTAGTGAATAAATCTAAAATTATGACGCACTAAAATAAGGGGGGTAACTCTGTATGATAAAGTGATATTTTTATAACCAATTTTTAAAAAATTGAGAACAACAATAAAAACAACATAAAAATTTTTTTTTTGAAAAAGATGTCATCCACAATATTGAAATTTTAATTTCAAAACAAAATAGTGCAAGAAAAAAGCCAAAAAGACAAATTAATTTTGATTCATTTATATCATGACAATTTATTGGGAAAATGGGTTCATTTATATGTACAACGTATTTTTTAATAATGAAAGAATAATTAAAAGTTTGATATCTTATGCTATATTTATAGTGATTTGCTTGCTTTACAAATTGCTAATAAAAAATTATAATGTTAGTGTGTGGTTTTGGAGTAATGTGCTCCCGAATTTCCTGACCCGAATTTCCTCTGCTCAAAAAGCTGTTATAAAATGTTAAAATAATGAGATTGCAATTTATTTACTTGCTTATAGTTTCTAACTCTCCTGATTTTGTCGTTTTAAACTCATTTTTTTTATTATAGTTATTATTTTTCTCTTGTGACACGGCGGGCAATGCTTTTCACCAGACTTTTGCCGAACAACCCGAAGATCTTTCGATTTCCCGGTTTGGTTTTGTACAATATCGTGTACACGTCACTTCCAGTTTGCAACTCGTACACAAAATGCCGAATCGGAATCAAAGTTGAAAGTATACTTGGAGGAGGTGTTTACAATTATCTATGAATTGTTTTGAACAAAAAAAAATAGAATTTGAAACTCCGGCTTATAATTTCTAACGTTTTAGTGGAACGGATGAAATAAAGTGAATTGACGAAGACAGAATGCTCGAGGCTTATTGTACATTCGTTCTAGTATGTCATCTGATATGTCTCCATGTTTAATTTTAATTAATAATAAATCTTTCTCTTGAATGAATATTTTCTATCTTCAGCAATATTGAATGATTAGATTTGATTCAGTGACGATTAACTAACCAGCTATTAGAATGAGAGGGGGGGGGGGGTCTGAGTAAAGTATATTGTCCTTTATCAGATTTTTTTTGGGAAGTTGCCCCCCCCCCCTTTTTTGAAATTGTTGCTACAAGTCTGACTAAACCAAGATACATGCTGTTGAAGCTAGGGAAAATAGTGACACCACCACAATATACTACACTATACTTTGCTATGCATGTGTACAATATGGTGTAGAGTAACAACAATATTTAACAAAATCAGATAAAATTTTAAGAGCTAAAACCACAAAGTACAAAAATAGTCCTTCACTAAAATAGATGAACTTATGTTTTATAATTTGAAGGGTTTTAAACTATTTATCTTAAATATCTTTTTCTAGTTTTCTTTTTATGGTTAAAATAACCTTTGTTTCTCTAATAATAAGTATCATAAGTTTACAAGTCAAGCAGCAGGCTTGTAGCAACGGTTTCAAAAGTTTGGGGGGGGGGGCACCTTCCCCCCAAAAAATCTGTGAAGCAAAAAAAAAAAAACAAAAAAAAAAAACTCACCAAAAATAGGGGGAGGGGCAACTTCCCAAAATAATCTGATCGGCAAAAAAAAAAATACCAAACTAATTAAATGTCCATTTCGTGGAAATTGACAGTGTAGCAACGGGGGGGGGGGGGGGGGGGGGGGATCACTATAGCAAACTACTATACTCGGAAAAAGTAGGTCCCCCCAGCATTCTACGGGCTTCAGCAGCTATGTAATACTGCACCTGACATAACTCTCACACACTGACAGGAGCTTATAAATGAAGATAAAAACTTACAGTACATGACGTGAGGCAGCTTATTACCTCCTCAATGTAACCATACGCATGAGGGACGGGAGATTATTAATACAAGAAAGTTGTAGGAGATTATACATTCATGACATTGGGTCAGATTATGACACAGATTTGAGTCGTAAGCAATTTTTGTGTCAAGTATCAACTACCAATTAGCCTCCATTTGAGAGTAATAGACCAGGTACAAATAATACACCTTTTCTGCCAGAAGCCTTGAACTTGCTGGAATAACCTTGAGTCAAGGTCAGTTACTCAATACATACATGTAACCTTAGGTTATATGCAATATTTATGATCAGTATGAGCATCTCATGTTCTCCATACAAAATACAGGAATTCAATGTTATTCTTAAAATGACATTTAACTTGATCAAAGGATCTTGAGTCAAGGTCATGGCATGCATTTGGGTCATTAGCAGTCCTTGAGTGCCATTTTCATCATTTATCCAATGGAAAACCTTGTTAAAAATAAGGAAGATGAATTTCCCAGGTTCTACTCTTTTTTTTAACATGCAGTGTATTTAGCATCTGTTCATACAATGATAAGGTAATGAAATAATTTTTATAATGAAATATATTTAATATTGCAAAATTCATGAGAATCAAAATACATTAACATATTGAAAACTTATTTGCTCTATCTACAATTTAAAAAAAAAAAGAAAAAGAATTTGTAATTTGACCAAATTTAAATTAATGAAAACTTATTACATTTAGTACCAAACACTGACACTGTATCTAAAAATGATGCTACAGACATGGCAAATTCTGATAACACCAATAATGTGTCCACAACTGATGTCATGGACATTTCAAACAGACTGAAGATATATGACTCTTTTCATATAAAACTCTGGGGTCTTTCAACTGAAAAAGTCTGCATTCTGAGATAGAATCCACTTTACTTTTTATAACGAGTCACACACAGTTTTCAATTCACATCTTCCATCAATAACTCCATATCGAATTTGTTGACAATGCCAGTTTTAAACTGCATTCGGTAATACTGGGACATCATAGGAAATGATAGTGTATCCAGTGACTATAAACACTTTTCTTGTCGTTACTCAAAACTTTAGTCTAATTCTGATTGTTACAAGAGAAACGTCTATATTCACTTGTTATTGTACACCTTCATTCCATTTATTTTTAGACCTGTAATTTTGTCTGCCTGTTTACTGATTGTTCTTTGTGGAAAAAGTTGAAAACTTTTCTCGTCTCATTGCTGATATGATCATGATGTTCCCGCTCTCTGTAAGAAACAATAATCTTGTTTTAGTTATTAGTTCAGGTGATAAAATAATTTTCATTTTCATAACAATCAAATGATCTTGTCCACCTGATCTAGTCAATACAGGCCTACAGAATGGTTGTGTGTGTGTGTGTGTGGGGGGGGGGGGGGGGTTCTGTTCTCCTTTTTTCTTTTTCTGAGAATAGTATTTGGCTATAGAGTAAATTTTCATTAAGATGTCGGTTGCACCCCCTTTTTAGCTCTACTGGTCAGAGACCAGAAGAGCTTATGCGATAGTAATGTGTCCGTCATCCGTCCGTCTGTCTGTCTGTCTGTCTGTCCGTCCGTCTGTAAACAATTTTTCAAAATGCTTCTCCTCCTACAGTTTTGGTCTGATTTCAATATAACTTGGCACACAAGTAGACTACACTAAGATACATAATTCTGTATATCGGTTTTTGATTTCGATGAACGGTGTTGCCATGGTTACTAAAAATAGAAATTTCCTTGAAATACCTTCAAAATGCTACCCCTACAGTTTTGGTCTGATTTTAGTATAACTTGGCACACAAGTAGACTATACTAAGATGCATAATTCTGTGTATCGGTTTTTGATTTCGATGAACGGTTTTGCCATGGTTACTAAAAATAGAAATTTCTGTGAAAAACATTCAAAATGCTACTCCTCCTACAGTTTTGATCTGATTTCAATATAACTTGGCACACAAGTAGACTATACAAAGATGCATAATTCTGTGTATCGGTTTTTGATTTCGATGAACGGTGTTGCCATGGTTACTAAAAATAGAAATTTCTGTGAAAAACATTCAAAATGCTACTCCTCCTACAGTTTTGGTCTGATTTCAATATAACTTGGCACACAAGTAGACTACACTAAGATACATAATTCTGTGTATCGGTTTTTGATTTCGATGAACGGTGTTGCCATGGTTACTAAAAATAGAAATTTCCTTGAAATACCTTCAAAATGCTACCCCTACAGTTTTGGTCTGATTTTAGTATTACTTAGCATACAAGTAAACTACACTAAGATACATAATTCTCTGTACCAGTTTCGGATTTTGATGAATGGTGTTGCCATGGTTACTAAAAATAGAAATTTTCTTGAAATACTTTCAAAACGCTACTCCTCCTACACTTTTTGTCTGATTTCAGAATAATGTGACATACAAGTAGACTACAGAGATACATAATTGGTGTTATTGTTTTTTGATTTTGTTGAATGATGTTGCCATGGTTACTTAAATCAAAATTTCAGTAAAATTGTTTTTAAAGGCTACTCCTCCTACAGTTTTAGTCTGATATAATAATAAATCTTGCCAAAAAGAGACTAAACCAAGGATCATTATTCTATTTATTGCTGTTGCAAAGTTTCAAGTCCAAGTGCTACCTTTATCTTCCTTTATAAATACAACCAGTAGAGCTACAGTCTCATCAGAGACTTCTGGTTTTACTAGAGGTCTGCATCAATAAACTTGTTAGATGTATATGGGCAGTTAGTGATTTCACATACCTAAACCTGTTGGCTTTATTTCAAACATGAAATGTTTAATAAGTAAATAACTATGAAACATACAAGTTGTATGTCCCTATGATACTATAAATAAACAATAATTAAGTATGTTTGTATTTATGTATAATTCATAATATTTAATGTCAAACCTAATATACCAGTTAGTATTCATCAAACAGTTACAATTCTTGCATATGGTTAGTGATGGGAAATTGGGATTTTTTTCATAATTGATTATTGGAATAATGGGATGCACTTTAATTGAAAAAAAATTGATTAATTTCAAATATTTTATTTCTTCAATTTCAAATGTAGAATAAATTGTTTAGAAATTCTGGAGTGATTTCCAAAATACATTTTTGAAATAGTTTGTATCATTGGGTTCATTTATTAGATTATTATTTAGGATTTAGTTAAATTCAAAGAAGAATGAATCAAAAATCAAAGGAATAATTTGCTTTTAACTAATATTTTGAGTAATCGATTATCTATAATCAGGGACCATTTCGATTAGATAATTGATTTAATCGATTAATCATTACATCACTACATATGGTACTTTAAACTTTATCTAAAACTTGTCATAGGTATCAACTATGATATACATGGATTTGTCTTAAAGTGACACATAGGTCTAATTGACTGATTACATGTATTTTTATGTTTTTCTTCATACTGTAATATATCACTACATGTATAAAATACAATTTACTTGCTTACTAATTGTGAAATCTAGCCAATTATCAAAGAAAATAATCTAAGTAAAGCCAAGAAAAATGATTGGTTAAACCTGCTTTGTTTCCACTTTCATCATGTTCATGCTGGAAAAATTTAGAGTACAAGTAGGTACTGGTAGGCATATTTTTAATTTTTTTTTTTTTTTTTTTTTGCGTGGACTTTTTTAAATAAAACAACCAAGTAACACTGATGTCCAGTCTATGTGAAAGTTTTTTAGACCCATAGGACATTTGGTCCTGTGTAATCAATGAACACACAGGACCGAATCAAATTTTGTCGGACCAAAAAACCTAATGTAAAAAGTGAAACACGTGAAAATGCAGAGTAGTAAGCCTAACACCTTTTCTTTTACAAGGGATTGCTCCCGCATAGTACTGTAGATGGTCCATACGGTTTTAATCACCTTCATTTACGTATTTGGATTTGTGCGAAATTTTTTACTTATAACAAACATTTACATGACTCCCCATCAAAATAATAATGCTCAAAACTGGACACAGACACATCGGACATTCTGGTCCGGTGTAAAAAATGATGCATTGCACCAGAGGCACTGCACATTGGTCAGGTCTGACGGTCCGATGTCTTTTGCATAGACTGGATGTCAAAGAAATAGTGTTTTATTTATGGTGGAAATTTTTTATACATGCTATTATTGGGTAATTTAAAATGAATATTCATATTTTTCTTGAAAAAGCATTTTAAAAAATTAGGGTCAGCTACAAAGTAGGGTGGGTTCACTGGGTTGTGAAAGTGGAAACAATTTTGCCTAACAACACCACAGCCTAACATTTTGACAAATGTAAATGTACCTTAATGATAGCTGATGATCCATAAGTTAGGATATCCACAGCATGAAAGAGCTGCTGAAATGGCATGGACATTTTAGAGCATCTGTCATATCACCCCCAGTTCCATAACCCTCCTTCCAAGTTTCCAGTTAGCAGATATTAAGGGTTCCATATCCTGTTCCATCTCAACTTCATGTTCAATGTCCACAATATTGGGATACCTATTCAAATAATATACACGTACATTTGTACTACTAAATCTATATAGCTGAGATTTCTTCCCTATCACTGCATATATGTAAACTAAAGATCGTTTCTCTGGTTTTCGAAAAAGAGTAGGCTCATTGGGGGCCGCCAGAGAAACCCAAAACTTTCAAAACCGTTCCTATAATATTTAAATTCCTACCGCCGAAATATGGCTGAAATATTGCCGACTCGGCGTAAAACAATAATAATCAATCAATCATATATGTAAATGTAGATGCAGTATATACAAAACAAGTGTTTTATTTTATTTTCATATTGTGTGGTCTACTTGATTATGATTCAGTTTCACATACTCTATAATATGTATTGATGCTTTTAGCTTTCATGAACTCAGAAGAAAATTCAATTAAAAAAAATGATTATAGTCAAAATTGCAATTCAGACACTCCACCATCAACATAACTTGGAAATTAATAAGGAAAGAAATAATCTTAATAAAAAGAAAAGTCCTGTTTTAGGCCAAAGAATTTAGTAGTAAGTATTATTTTGTGTTGTAGTGTAGTGAATTTTTTATCTAGTATGTTTTGGAAGAAAATATTGTCTAGACAGTGTCCAACACCTTGCATCTGGTTACCTTCAAATTTCCTTGAGTTATAACTGTGTCTCATATGACTTGACATTTATAATAAATTATTGTTTCTTTTAATATATTTTCTATGTTTGCTAAGTATAAAAGCATTAATACATACATGTAAACAGGATAGAGTACATGAAACTCGAAACGTTTTTCCAAAATCAAGCGCACCTGAATAACATCAATAAATTTTTGAATTTTTACTGATTCACCAACATTCCGGAATGCAATCATGTCACACAATATAAAAATAAATTACAAAACAGAATTGTATATAAATCATGTAAATTACCCCCTCATGTGTGCACTGGTAACCAGTGGTATTGTTTTTATTATAATATAGTGTAGTGCTCTTTATCCTTTTTTCGAATCTATATTGCAAACAACAACTAAGGAAGAATATAACAAATTTTATCTCAAAATCTCGAAAAAAAAAACTTTAACATGAATCGTCACTAATTTATAATGTTGTGTGTTCACTCATGCCCCCAATTCAGAAAAAATTACCCAGTTCACTCATTTATATATATCTATTTTATCTAATACCGGTATTTTGCTGCGCCACAATCACTTTTACTGAATTGCTGAGGTAATGTTAGTTAAATGGTGTCAAATACTAGAGACAAACCTGGGCAGATCGTTTTTGCTAGGCTAGAGTTGTCGTGCGTTTGTGATTCGAATGATGGGTTTAATCTTTGCACAGTAATTTTCAGTCAGACGCAGCTCACCATCGCCTTTTTTGAGTCAACGAAGCCTTGCTGTACCGCTGAATAGATTTGGTTGACGAAAATCCTCGTTTTCTCCGCATTTCATTCTTTTCGAAACATCCGCTTTGTTTACATTACCGAAAAGTAAAATAAGTCGTAAAATTACCTCGACTTGTTGTTAGTTTGAATCCAATGAAATTTTAGTCACATTTTATATGATTTTATATCAAGTATATCTTTAAAATAAGTTGCATTGTAAATTTTATTTCCAACTCTGCTACAGAGATGAACGACATAAGATTCATTTACGTCATTCGGAGTTGCGCGGTGGATTCAAAATCGTCACTACCATACGTCCTTAATTAATTAATGTCACAAAGACCTGCATAGCTATTTTTAGATACTTTGATATAAAAATTTTGTCAACCCCAATTTTTTTTTTTTATATTTCACTTCCATATTCCCTTTCTAGTCATGTGCACATGTCATTCACAGCAGGATGGTGACAACACCAAAGGTCCAACTGTCAGATACAGTGCAACACAAAAGATAAGACTGTATATCTAAACACAGGAGAGGTCCTTGATATTTATTTTCATATGGCTTAAAATCATACATCCCTCAATGTTGTATTCTCTAGACTCATCATATCTAGATCACTCACCAACTTATCAAATGTTTTAATACATCTGCATAATAAATCTCTTTTATTACATAACTTCTAGCATATTCAAGGTATCTGTATTAATGAGATCAATTTTGGTTCCCAGGAGAGGGCAAAAGCATGGAATTCTGATGAACATGTTTGTTCAATGAATTTAAGTTATGGCAATGTTTGAGTGACTCAGTAATATAACCTCCAGTGTAAAGCTGATGCTTTGATGAGAAATTCAGTGTTTATTACAAAATTTCATCAATCCTAGAGGGAGATACATGTAATAAAGCTGTGGATTTTATCACCTTTATAAATTGTACAACTGGTGGGTAAGGGCAAACAAAAAATTATTTTTGTTTCCTGTAACACAGAAAACCAGTAGGCCTTTTTCTAATTTAAAAAAAAAAAATTCTTATCTAAACATGAGGGCCAATGGACCTTAAGGACATACCCAACATACCTTACCTACTGATATTTTTTCAAGATATTCTTAATTTAAGATTAAAGTGCCATCAGATGTTCATAGATAAAATATCGGCGCGCATTACCAGGGGTTTTGAAAAGGTATCAATTGATGAAAATTCTTTTATAATTTAGAGAAAAATATACAAAAATTACTAAGCATATATATTCTAGATGTTTTGTTTATCCAAACTTGTTTTAGAAGAAGTTTACAACAGCTTATAGACATTAAAATGTAGCAAATGTAGCATACAGTTCCTTTAAGTATTGGAACTCTTCAACTCTAGGGAAAAAGATAATACAATGAAGTTCAAACTACATTGCATATGTTCTTAATGGTTATCTGGGTATCATGTATTCTTAGACTATCCTCAATTTCAGCCCTACCTGGAAATGCATATGAAATGATTTTTTTAGTAAATACACTACTGCTGAATCATTAGAATTCATGGGGCCAATTTTCAAGAATTGCTACATTTTACAGGTGTGTGGGGACTTAATTTCTAGAATTAATTTGCATGACGAAAGGAAAAATAGCTTTGGATCCATCAATCTGGAGGTCATTGCCATATTTGATGTCTTTGCTGTTCATCATACAAATTCTTAAATTGAAACAAGTTAATTCAGAGAAATTGTGTCCCCTGCTGAAGGGAAAAAAAGAAGAGGGTGAAAGAACTGAAAAAATCAAGCAGATGGAGACTTGAACAATTCAATTTCCTCCATCCAAATATGTTTTGTGAAAACTTTGCTAAAAATTGGCTTAGTGAATCTCCAGTAGAAGTTGAAAATGTGTAAAAATTTACAGCTTAGAGCTCAGGTGAGCTAAAAAAGATTCTCAAAGGTGTAGTGTATTCTCAATATATTACCAAATAAGCTCCACCCTAGAAAGACAGGGTACATGAATTTCACAATTCTAAAGCTATTCTCTCATTATAATCATGCAAACAGCTTGCTGCTAGATTACCATTAATAAATCAAAGTATTTTCAAAGGTATAAATGAATTTTCAATGTATGAACTTTTGGCCGTAAACTACTTTGCACAATTTTGATAGAGTAGTTGCTTATCATAATTAAATGTCCATGAGTAAAGATGGTGATTTTTAAAAAAGTAATGTTTTTTTCAATATACATGTATGATGTCCAACTTAACCCCACCCTGGTGAGATTTTTACAGGTTAACTTTAATGAATTTCAATATATGACAAACTTAGCCCCATCTTGCGGATATGACCTCTGGTAGAGGGCTAGCTGCTAATTGCCTGCAGGATGTCCAGTAGAGAAGATTTTTTGAAGAATGAATGGTTTTTATATGGTTTTGGACCCACCCCTCAGGCCCCAAGGAGGCTGGAACTATGAAATTCACAAATTTTGTTTCTCTTCTTCCATAGATGTACATATCAAAATCGTTTAGAAGTGGTTCACAGCTAATTCAATGAAAAAGCTGAAAATGTTAAAAAAATTTACGAATGACAATGAAAAGTAACTACATGTAATGTGAACCAAAAATTGACAAAGTATTTTTATTACCTTCTTTCTTTCTCTCCAGTTAGTATTTGCATAAAAAACAATTTGTCAGAATTCAAGTATTTGATTTACAGTGATTTATGTTTTGCTGTTATCACTGATATGTGCAATCTTAGCTGCAAATGGCAGCTACACCCAAGCATGTCCCAAGATTATAGTTTAAAGAAGTCTGATTACATCATTGAAACCAATTTCATCATTTATCCAGATCTGAAAAAAATAGAACAAAATAATTTTTCTCCACCCTGATTCAGCAAATTTACTGAAAAACAAATCATTACAAGGATTCACTAGAAAAGGGTTGGTCAAGTATTCAGGAAACAAACTTTCATTTTTAAAAGTAATATGAAAGAAAGTATTCAGCTTTTTGCACAAAAAGTTTTATTCATGAAACCTTTTTTTTTTTTTGGGGGGGGGGGGGGGGGGGGTTAGGGTAATTTTACAGGGAAAGTTTTGCTTAAATTTGACACCAGTGACTAACATTTTTGGGTACAAGTTATCAGTAATTTTTTACTCAACTTTGCTTAAAAATCAACTCTGTAATATAATCAAGTAAAACAAAGCACACATTCATGAAATCTGATTTTTCCACAAAATTTTCAATACTTTATTTTGGACCTATGTTTAAGGGGTTGAACCTCTCTTAAATTATTCCTTGGATATTTTCAGAAAAATATAAGCAAGTGAAAAGTTTGTAGGTTTTTATCCAAGTTTGAGCTGAATACATTCTAAAATATTTCATACATTGTGACTTTCTTCATTTTCATCCAATTCAAAAAATATATTTGCCTGAACACCCACCCCCAACCTTCACAGTTCATTTAGCCCTCTCCCCCTAACTCAGTTATACTAATTTATGTATCCCCTTATCTTAAATGAGAAATTCATCCATTCCATTATATCAGAAAATCTAGGCTATACTAAAACATAACCTACAATAATGAGATATCAAGAACCCAATATTTACAGTTACATGTCAATGAACTAATGAAATCAGCCCATTAAGAAACTTCAAAAAATAAAAGATTGCTTAAATTACATACACCATGACATTACCTATTGTTACACTCCATGATCATACAAGTCCCAAGTGTAGTGTTGATAAAAAGGGCCACTCAATCTCCCCCTTCCCAATGTAAAGGCATAACAAAAATTAGCACTTTATACTCAGTTTTCATCTTATTAAAAACACTAATATTCTTATTAATATGAATGATCTTAATGATTGTGGATAATAAAAATTGCACTTAAGCTGCACTGGCACTAAGTGCTGGATAATGAGAAGAATATCCATCATTATACACCTCTCAAGCAAAATGTATTGATTGGTTCACATCATCAGGGGCTGATAACTCTGGAACAATCATTAGAGTCATCATTACATGTGTAGGTGCTTCTTTAATAATAAGAAAAGTTTGCTGAGTGCATTTTCAAAACCCAACATCCTTAAATCAGATTTACAGTCTGCTTCAATTTGTTCCCTATATCATATGGTAAGCACTGTCAAAATGTGATAAACACAGCACCTGAGTTAAAGCTGAACATTTGTACAGATCGAGATCCAATTTTTGGATGATTTTCTCATCTAGGGTTTACATACTATTACCTGAAGACATTTGGGCAGGGTCAATGTATATGATCTTTGAGACTTTTTCTTGGTAAACCTAAAAACCTCAATCAATTGCAATTTTGTTCTTTAAAACAAGAAACACATAAGGTAATCGGAAACTTGCCAAAACTGAAGTGGTGAATTGAAGATTATAGTGCAAATGTGAAGGCCTTTGAAAAAGTCATAATTTTACATATATTATTTTTGGTATTCAAATAATTTGACAATATTCAACAGAATGGGACCAATACATGAAGCTAACAATACTTAAAGGGGACAAATAAGGAAAACAATTTTGTTATACATAGGAAAGTCATCATTCTAGTGACCTACATATGTACAGAACTGAATTTAAGATTTCCGACCCCCAAGACATTTGATAGGTCACTGGTGTGAAAATCTAATATGTGTCATAAGAAAACAGTTTGAGATCTACCTAGATCTACCTATATATATCACATGATATAAGAGAACAGTTGGATATATCACATAATATAAGAGAACAGTTGGTGATCTATCTAAATTAGAAGAGTTGGTGATTTGACTGAACATAATATCATGTGAAATAATAAACCAGCCTGTAATATACCATAAAGAGTTCATCTTTAAAGCCAATAGATATATACATTTTTTTTTTTTTTTACAAAATTCCTTTGTGCAAAATGAACATTGATACCCTATTATGACC